ATTGCTTTAGTCAAGGTTTGATTCACTGCTTTGTATCGATTGATAACCTCTTTCGATAGGGGGAGTCTAGTTCAGAACGCCTTGATCGGTTGTTCTAGAGAAGGATACGTCCCTCTAGGCAATTGACTCAAGCGGGCCTTGTTCCTTTAGTCAAGACTCAAGGTCTAGTCAAGGATTCTCCGCATTGTGAATGAAAGCGAAAGAAGTTAGAGATCATCAATCATTAATCTAGCTAGTGGCTAGGGGGAATCATACCTAAGTGAGTTCCCAACCTGTAATTAGATTAACTTTAACTGTAGTTTGCTAGAGTAGTTTTAGTTGTTCTATCTTAATCTGGTTTGCTAGATAATGAAGTGAAGCTGAGTAATAGTAACTCTAGAGACCCGTGGATTCGATATTTATTACTTGAGCCACTATACTGCAATCCCTTTCATTGGTTACACTTGGCCTTTGTTAGGAGTTGTGTCATAGCGAGTCACCTAGCTAACCACTAACCTTGCTATTTAAAAGTTTGGGAGCGCTCTTGTGTTGAATCCTCCTAGCTCCATCGTAGGATCGATGTTGAGTACCATCTTAACTCGATCGAATCACTACCCTACCGTTAGGAGATGAACTCCCTCGAGACGGACCCAGAACGGTGAAGTGATGGACAAGTGGTGCTCTATTCAACCTAGGGAACCCCTATATCGTAGGAGCTCGATCCAATCAACTCCCTCGGGGATTACCCGGACGATATAGGGTGAGGAGTGACCTGAAGACGCCAAGAAAGGGGCTCTAAGAGGATTTCTCCCTCCTAGGTCAAAAGCTCAAAACATGAAAATCGAATCCAAACTCATGCCATACATGAAAACCATCATAACTTAGATAATAAACTCAATCAAACATGGAATTCGCCACATACAACAACACCCAATCAAAATCTAGAACTAGGGTTCTTAAACCCAAGAGAAAAGAGGGTGAGTTTTTAGAGAGAAAAGAGAGATATTGCAAATTGGAGGCCAAGATCTTTTTCTTCTTCTCTTCTAGGCTTGTTTCCTTGCTTTCAATCTTGATCAATGCCTTCAATTAAGCTCCAAGTTCACTCAAAAACTCTCTCCCTCTCTCTCTCTCTCTCTCTCTCTCTCTCTCTCTAGAACTCCCCTTTGGGTTTTGGGTCAAAACCCTAGAGAGAGAATCAAATTTTCCTCCAAAAACCAGATACCCTTTCTCTCTCCCCATTGCTCTCTTTATATTTACCCGACAGTGTCGAGTTCATGGTCTTAGCGACCGTGAACTGACTTGAGTCCAGTGAGACGGAAAACAGCTCTGGAAATTGGCCACTTCATGGTATGGGGTTGATTTTCACGGTCTTAGAATGAGTCCAGACCGTGAAGTTATGCACTTCACTCCCTGGGGGTGATTTTCACGGTCTAAGGGCGTGACATTTGCCTCCAACCCGTGAATAGTGCTCAACCTCCATTTTTTGGCTTGTTTTGACCTCTGAATGACCCAAAATTTGTCCAGGACCTTCCCACATGTACTATGACCTGAAATATGACAAAAGAAGCACAACCTAGTGTATAATAGATCAAGGAACGATGATAACGAAGTCAAACAATCAAAAAATGAAGGCTAAAGCATGTGCAATTGAGTCCGAATCACAATTGGTGCGACCCTAGACTTTTCAACTTTACTTCTATTATGTGGGAAATCATTAATTTACATTGAATCATCACTAATGTATCCAAGAATCTCTTAAAATAGTTAGTCAATAGAGACTTCTCTTCCACCCAACTAACCAAAAATGGTTTTAAGACCTAGAATTTCACTATAAGGATTTCACCCAATACATATGGAAATAAATAGCTCATTTTCATGCAATTACTCAACCTATCCAATCTATGTGTGTTCAATCAACCCAATTAGATTTCTCTCTCCTAAGTCAAAATACAATTCACTCAAACTTTGTTAAAAATTAGGAAAACTTGGCCAAAATAGAATTCAAACCCTTCTAATTTATAACGTCCTAGATTCAATATTTCTGAATCCATAGCGTTGCACATATGGGGGTCCTCTTCGAGCCAATGATGTTCTTGGAGAAGAAGACTCTAGAGTTTGGTTTGCCGACTTGTTGTACAAAGGCAAGGTCAAGCTCATCAAGTAGAATCAGCTCATCTGAAGAAGAAAAAAAAAACAACTGAGGCAGAAAGGGGTCTGATCTAGTAAACCTAATTTGCTGCCAATACTCATTCTCCCGTCAAACATTAATGATGTGGCGGAGACGTTCCATACACAGTGTAAAGATGTAGGGAGAAAGAGGGCACCTCAGACCAAGGCCCCTGCAAGGGGTGATCTCATCATTAAGGCCTTCGTTCCATTATAAATATTTAAGTTTCATCAAAATGTTTAAGTTTCTCAACCAATCATTTGGTGATAGCTTTGTTAGTGACATTTCAAATATTGATCGGGCGAATTTTCTCAATCAAATAAGGCTTTTGGGATCACTACTGGAATCATTTCATTGACCGCCCTGATTTTATCTGGATAATCCCAACTATCTTTTGCAAACAAGACAAGGGACTACCAAACATGGACCCATATTTTTGAAAAAAATATAGGGTTGAGGCCATCCTTGCTATGTGCTTTCAAAGAAAGTGCCTTCTTCCTTCTGTTGAACTCGAGTAATCTCGTCTTTAGGCTCTTTCGTCTTCCGTGACGGAAAGTATTCTTCGATGAATGCTAGTGCTATTATCTCCCATGTGGTGAAGGTCCTGGTGGATGGTAGTCAAGCCACTACTTTGCTCCTCCTTCAAGTGAGAACGGGAAAAGTCGTAGTCAAATTCCATCTTTGGTAGAATCATCTCCTGATATGGAATTGATGATCTCTAAGAATATATTCAAGTGTTGCACCAGAACATATTCATTCCTTCCTCCAAATCTCCCTGCTTGTCACACCATATGGATGAGTTGAGCTCTGATTTTTGTGGTCGTTGGCGACACAACAATGCTTGAGGTGATGTTGGATGCTCTTGGCCTTGAATACTCATCGAGATTTGGTGGAATTTCCACTTGCCTTTGTCATTCTTCTCTAGCCATCGTTGGTGTTGAAAAAGTTGAAGATAATCCTTCTTCCTCCCATTCGAAGTTGTCTTCGTCTATGTTGTCCTCCTCTTCCAAGGGTTGCTCGAAATTGGTTCGTCTTTAAGTTGGGTAAACTAGATGCTCCTCCTTCTTGAACTATCTCTTCCACAATCTTTATGGTTTTTCTTTGTCTTCTAGTGGACTCATACGAAAATCTACAAAGCAAAATTGACTCAATAGTAAGCATAAGATGGTTAAATGCTTTTATATATGATTAGAAATCTCCAGCAACTGTGCCAAAAACTTGATGTAATATCAGGTGATAAAATCCTAGGAGGACTTGGGGTCATATTCCTCTAGGTCTTCTAATGCATAACTACTCACACCAACCATACATGACATATACAAGAATCATAAGGACATTTAGGGGTTTTCATTTAACAAACAAACAAAGCAAGAAGAGTAAAGTTGTTTAGGGATTTTCAATTTATAGATGCATAAAAGTAAAGATACATTATTGTAGAAGGTAGTAAAACTCGAAGACTATTATGCATACTAGGGTTCATTCATATCATGCATCAATGACTCATCAATCTTAACACCTTATCCCTTCCTCTAAGGCCACTCTGTATATGTGCATGCGCCTCTTGTGATAGAGTTTTAACTAGCTAATGCTTGCTTTCGCTTCATGTCATTACCTAATCAATGAAGAACAAGGAAGTTAGGATAGCATATAGTTAATTGTGGGCTTCTACGAACCATAACATAGTCTATAACATCGATGATTTAACAATCAAGCATTGATAATACTCGAAGCATAAATGGTTGATCATTTCATCCATATTCGTGTAGCATCAATGGGGTATCTCTATATGGTAATTTCTTGACAACCTAGGTAATATTAAGCACAATGCATATAGTAGCATACAATAGAATCATAAGCATCAATGATACAAGAGCATTCATACTATAGAAACATCAATGACTATCATTACATAAGCATCAAAACTAAAAGCATCCATACATAGGCAATATGCATAAAAAAATCTCATAGACAAACACAAGCATGAGATAAAATCATAGCATTCATTCACATAACAATAAAGAAGTTCACATCCTTATACAATCAATTTTGATTAGCTACATAGAGAAGAAGGAAGGTAGCACCATTGATGATGAGAACATGTCCTTAGCTACAGACCCCTCCACTTCGACTAGGCTAACCACTTGTGTAAAGTGTTGCAGAGAGTCTGTGTGTTTGTGCAGCCTTACTAAGCTAATGGGTCATGCTCTCTATTAGGGAAAAATCCCAGCCTATAACATCCAAAGTCGACTAGGAAAGAGTCTTCTAAACCTTGTAGGCCAAGCTAACTTCCTCAACAAGGTTTAGGGTTGACGGCGGTAGGGCAATAGTTAGATCCACCACTCTGTTTCTTCGTGGGTTGGGTTTCCTGGTTCATAGACTTCTTTTTCTGACGATTTGGGTGCACCTTGATGTAGTGACGATTATACATGTTTCTTGGACCGCCGCTATTTCTTTCTTTCTTTCTTCAGATCGGGCCGAGTCTTCTTCCTATAAGTTTGTCTTGAAATAATGTAGCAACTTCTAGTTGACTTCTCCGCCAGTGGACCACTTATTTCTCACTAAAGCTCCTTAATCTTCTATTTATATCTCATTTGGTCCTCCAAAGTTCTTAATGCTTGATCCAATCATCCTTAGGTGGCTTTGTACCTTCAAAATCATAAAAAACATACCAAAAAGGTATCAAAGAGTACAAGAACATTACCTAGGTCTATTAAAAGCTTATTGATTAAATAGAGTGATTTAGACAAAAAAATATCATTGGAACGACTAAAGATGCTTTGATAGAAGGGGGAAATGTATATAGAATGTGAGTGACAAACACTATAAATAAAGGGTTATCAACTTATAGGGATTCGTTGTATATGACATTTGGTTGCCCAGTCTATTTCAAGAGCTCCTCGGTGGTTATATCTTCGATAATCCCATCTTCTCTTTCCGGTTGTGTGGTAGTTTGGTCCTCTACACGGACTCACTTCTTAGGCTGTTGTGTCTCTTTATCTCCCTTTTCTGTTTGGTGAGGAAGAGTCTAAAGGAGGATGTCGCACACCCGACGTAGGGTAGGTCAGTTTTGATTCTCCTGGTGACGTCGAGGAGGTTGACGGACAAGCCGCCGCCATGATGTCGCCAGCTGAAGCAGAAATCCTAGTTGATCGCTGATTAGTCGCCCTTTAGTAATCTCATAGCTCTTAATAGTATGACAATTTTTCCTATAAGTTATAAATTATTTTATGTGAACCAAATCTTTTAATTGCTTCTTCCTAGTTGATTTTATCGGCGATGATGATTTTTCACGTTTCTCATACATTCTATCAAATCGCATAATGTGCATAAACCGGTTGTACCATATCACATGGCTTGGCACACTGTATTGTTTAAACCGGTTTGGCACACTGGTATTTGAAACTGTCCCATTCACTCACATCTCGTCGCGCCTCCATTCTCAAATCTTCCACACGACGGCGACTGCGAGTCCAGCTGAATCACACCGGAAAGAAGAAAAATATACGCCGGAGGGAGCCGTTCAGGTGTTATGATTCTTAACATAGTGTTCTTCACGCCATACTCAAATCAAACAAAAAAACACCTAGTATTCCCTAGTTTCTTCTTCCACACACGAAACTCCCTCTCACCCTATCTCGTGTACTCCGCCTTCTGCGTATAAAACAACACTCGCGCGCATCGTAGTTCCTCCTTCGCTACAGCAGTTGTCGAAGTTGGGCGGTGGAAAAAAGATCGGAGGCTGCGGAAGGGGAGAGAAGGAGAAAGAAGAGGAGAAATGGCGCCTAGGCTGAGTCCGGGCGACGCTACGGGATTTAAGCTGCTCTTCCTCCTTGCGTCGCTGTACGGACTCATGTCCGTGCTCGTCTACTCCGTACTCCACATGAAGTTTATTACGCCGCTCGCCGTCGACGCGCCTCCGGATCGTTTCTCCGAGGCACGCGCCGTCGAGCACGTTCGCGCCTTAACGAGAACTGGACGCCAGGTGAGTATTTCCGTTTCGGTTTCGGACTTTCACGGGGAGATGTGGCAATTTGTTTTGTCTTGATTGTTCAGAGTATATTGTGACTTCACAATTGTGTTTGGTAGGAAGGGCGTCCTGGTTTGAGAGAAGCTGCAAATTACATTAGAACGGAGCTTGAAGCGATAAGAGGAAGATCTGGTTCAGGTTACAGGTTCGTTGTTGTTAGAGCTTGTGTGTGCTTGACTGGTTTATTTGGCTTGTTTCTTGTGTATGAAGTTCATTTTTCATTTTGTCAATCTGCAGAATTGAGATTGAAGAGACTGCAGTTAACGGTTCCTTCAATATGATGTTCTTAGGCCATAGCATATCCCTGGGATACAGAAATCATACTAATTTGATCATGAGGTATGTACATCTCATTCACCATTTCGATGGTCTACAACGTTCTGTAAGCGAATCTTCTCATTTCCCGCTTAGTTGTTCGGAAAGTTGTACGTGAACTGTCCTATAAAGGAATAGAGTGTTCAATTGCCTTTCTTTTCCGTTTGCACATTGATGCAAGCATTACTCAATCAGTAGAAGAGAACTGTAGGGGGGGGGGGGGGGGGGGGGGGGGGGGGGGGGGGGAAGGGAAACTAAGGGAGCATAGTGTTGTGCTTAGGGACTAGGGACCACTGCCTTTCTGGTTTTTCCTTCTCTTCCAGGGAGAGCATGTATTGAATTTGAAGTACTTGTTAACAATTTCAATGTTACTTGAGTAGAAGTTGGAATCCTAGTTGCGACTGCGCGACTCTTTCCCTATTGTTAGACTTAGACCAACTTTTCCTGAATGGCAGGATGTCATCGGTAGATTCACCAAGCGATGATGCTTCTGTTCTAATAAATGGCCATTTTGATAGTCCACTTGGCTCTGTAGGAGCTGGCGATTGTGGTTCTTGTGTTGGTAAGTGAAAAAAATAACATACGAGTGTGGTTGTTGTGCCTGCCTGCACTTTGGCTGCTGATTATTTAGCTTCTTTCCTATTATTTTGTAGCATCAATGCTGGAAGTTGCAAGAGTTATTGTGGACTCTGGCTGGATCCCTCCTCGTCCTATTATATTCCTTTTCAACGGGGCTGAAGAACTTTTCATGTTGGTATGTAAAGAATCCACAATGGTATTGTCTAGGGTAGTTGTCCTTAAATTAGCTCTGCAGCAAATTCTACTTGCACAAACTAGACTGCAACTTATGTAGTAATTACATATCTATTAAAAGGTATTCTGGGGGTAATATGGTATAGTTTATAAACTGTGGCCATGTGAAATGGAAAAGTGAAAGGTTGTTTTTCTTTGGTGTTGTTTACTTTTCCATTTTCCTTTCTTTCTTTTTTGGTGGCTTTGAAATAGGGAAGAGTTCAGATTCCTCGCAAGAGACTGAACTATTAGTTCTAGAAGTTGGTTATCTAGGTTTTCATAGATTTCATGATGAACTTGATTGGACCGAGGTAAGGCAGAGTTGCATGTTGAGGCTTAGTATATTGATTGCTTCTAATGTTTCAGGCTGCGCATGGTTTCATGACAACACATGAATGGCGGCATTCTATTGGAGCTTCCATAAATGTGGAAGCATCTGGGACAGGAGGACCTGGTAGGATAAGTTACCAACTGTTGTCACAGTTAGCAGTTTAAGGCATTCCTTCAGAATCCAAATTGAACAAAACCTTGGATCTTTGGGGACATAAAAAAAATGGCACATCATACACACTTTGATGATGTCATCACCTCCTTTGGGATAGATAAGTTTACATTATCTCTTTTTGGCTCTCTTTTGACAGATTTAGTTTGCCAATCTGGACCTAGTTCATGGCCCTCTCAATTATATGCCCAGTCTGCTATTTACCCCATGGCTCACAGTGCTGCTCAGGTTTTTCTCTTAATCAAATGCAAATTTGACTGTGTAATAAAAGTTAAGATTTCTTCTCATGTCACTAAAACAATTTTAAACTTCTAGCCAGCCGAATTTTCGTCCGGTTTGCATCCATCCGTCTAAAAATAATACGGAAAGAAAAAAAGTATTGACTGGCGAAGCCCCTACAACTGCTTTGCACCACTTGCCTATTTTTTTCATCAGCCACTGTTTTAGTCTCAATGATGTTTTTTTTTCCTTCTTCTATCTGTAGGATGTTTTTCCTATTATTCCCGGCGACACAGATTACAGAATGTTTTCCCAGGATTATGGGAACATCCCCAGCCTGGATATCATCTTTCTTCTAGGCGGATATTATTACCATACTTCCTTTGACACCGTGGACAAACTACTGTACGCATTACATCTGCTATTTTGGTATAAAATTATTGCTATGTGATTTTACTATTACTTAGTTTATATGCACCTTCACCTTATTCATGCATATATCGTTAAACCAGACCTGGATCCATGCAAGCACGTGGAGAAAACTTTCTGAGTATACTCAAAGGCTTTACAAATTCTTCCAAGCTACGAAGTGCCCAAGAAAGAAATTCTCTTGAAGCAGCAAATGACTATGATGATGAGCGTGCTGTTTTCTTCGATTATTTGACTTGGTTCTTGGTATGTTGCAAAAGTTGGTAGTGTCTCAAATCTCTAAGTCAAATGACATTGCATTGGTAATGCTTTGATCCGACATCAGTTCATGATGACATATTTCCTGGTTTTGCTTCTGGATCTTTCAGGTGCTATATTCAAAAAGAGTTGCAAGAGTACTGCATAGTGGTCCCATCGTTCTCTTTCTTGCTATGCCGTTGATTTTTTGTTTTCTTGATTCTGGGCGTCGTTCTTGGTTTACAACTTTCTGCGACCTTATGAAAGGTGGAGTACTGATCTATAACTTTTTATAAAATATTTGACGTGTTCAGATGGTTTGTAATTGTTTTTATTGTGCTAATTATACCAAAAGTCTTTTCCAGGAATGATGTTGCATGCAAGTGGATTTATCCTGGCTATTCTTTGCCCCGTTGCCTTTTCCATCGCCAGATTATTTTTCTCCGGTTGTGCTATGAGCTGGTGGGTTCAACCTTTAGTCTCTGTGTTTCTTTCACCCATCCGGTCCAGTTCTCCAGTATGCATAAATTTCGCTGTCGATCTTTGTAATACTGGATTCACTGGTACTTTCTGATCGATATTGCTATTTGTTTGGAATATTTCATTGAAATGCAGGTTTGCTCGTCCGTACTTGGCATACATGATGTTTATCCCTTGTTCGCTTCTCGGTTTGCTGATACCAAGGGCCATTTGGAGTTCTTTGCCTCCCTCTCTGGATGCTTCCAACCTTGAGAAATCCAAGGAGGTATCAATCACAGTCACATCCTAAATTTGGCAGGAAATTGCAAGCGGTCTCCCAAATGTCAAGTGACTCTGAATTAGACCTGAAATACAGATCTTCTTGATGATTATTTGTCGTGAAGGTTTCACTTTTAACAATTTATGACCTTCCAAACCTATTTCAGGCATTATCTGATGAAGCAAGGTTTTGGGGAGCATTTGGATTGTATGCTGTCATAACTCAGGTATACACTAAGTTTGGCTCCTTACTCCTTAGTATTTGAGCTTGAATGATCTCTAGTTTCTGCAACTGCTAACTTCATTAAAGTAGGCTTATACTGCAGCTGGGCTCAGTGGCGGATTCTTGGCCTTTTTAATTTCAGCTTCTATGCTTCTAGCTTGGATCTTCTTTTGCCTTTCTGTCAAATTTTATGGTCATCAAACACTTCGGTAAGGTTTTATACTTCTCTTGAAACGTGCACATCTCTCGGCTCATTTGTTTCCTCCAAAACTTTACTCATCCCTCAGGCATAGTTGCATTTTTGGCTTCTTGTTCAATACCCTACTCTTTGATGGGTTTCAAGTCTTCTATGATTTGACTAGGCTTTTCTTTCAGGTCAACAATCTCTTATATAATACCTCTGGTCCCTTACCTCATATATGGCGTATATTTTGGTGCATTTCTCATCCAATTTTTGATCGAGAAGACGGGAATGGTGGGCGCTGTCCCACCCCCATATGGTATGTTTCACTAATTTCATTCCCCCTGCTCTCCTAGTTGTAGGAATCTGATTGGTTCACCTTCAAATTTATTTCTATGCTCCGTCTTACAACTTTAATTATTGTCTTCAGGATATTATGTTCCCGATGTTCTGGTGGCAGCAGTAATTGGACTTGTAACTAGTTGGTGTTTCGGCCCGTTAGTACCTGTTTTGGGTTGGTGGTTAGCTAGGTCATCCATCTTGAAGTTCTTGTTGCATATTACCGTGGTTGCCTTGGCGGTCTCCTCACAGTTCTTCCCATACAGCAACCTAGCCCCTAAAAGGCTTGTTTTCCAGCATACCGTCGTGACTACGGGTATGAAATGACATATGATGAGTTTTGTTTGAAGATCCATTGCACATCCCATTTTATTGCATTTATGGATTAAAGCTTAAACAGTTTTGGCTCCGGGAGTTTGATACTTTTCTCAGATGATCTCTTGATGCTGTTTTATTTCGATTGGCCATACTTTGGCAAAAAATGTCAATCTTGACAGGGACTGTTGATTTGGGAAATTCTGTAAAATTCAGGGGTTGGTTTCTGGAGAAGTATCAAACATCAAGATTCAAAATTAGCATTAGTCCCACTTAATGCATTTGTATATCATCCTCTAAGACTTTTGCTGCTGTTTTATTTCGATTAGCCAGGCCTTGTCGTCCTGACTTCTACTTGTTCACCTATTATCTTCAGATGGAAGTAAGATTATGGACTCAAGCTACCATTTCGCTGTGGTGGATTCGAATTCTCTGAACTTTCTTTTCAAACATTCACCTGAAGTGGCGAAGCAACTGCAAATTGGCTCAGATTTCTCTCTGGGTACTGCTAATAAGTCTCAACTCCACGACTGGGTGGTATGCAATTCCTTCTTAAGTTAATTGTTGCCAATGTTTTATATAACATTGCTTCCTTTGTCCTGAAACTAAACATATTCTCTCGAAACTGATTAACCATGAGCAGGCACTTTTCCCAGTATCTCACCTGTTCTCTGGAAGTCTGAAGTTTCCTGCTAGCAACCACGAGCTCCTGAAGCAGTATCAACGGTTCCCTCATCTGTACAACTCCAAGCCTGCTACTGTCTCTGGTGATGGATCCCGGAGAGTTCACTTGGAGCTTTCTTTGGGGTAAGTGGATTACATGAGCTGTTACGTGCAGTTTAAAAAATCGCTTACACAGTCAATGAACTATGTGATTTGTGACAAACCGTCGTTAAAATACAAAACTTCAATAAATTACTAACCAAACTGGGTACTTTGTTACAAGATAGTCCAATCTGTCTAATCTGGCACTAGTTCATTGGGTGAACATGGTAAATAGGCTCGTTGTCATTAACTCATGCACCTTGTCAACTCAAACCCTTTCTAACTCTCCCAATTGGAATCTGGATCCCAACCCTGTTCTTGAATTGGGAAGGGCTGGATTTGGTGCTGATTCAGAGATTCTGCAGACAATTTGACATGCTGACGCAGCCGAATGAAAAGCAAATTAGACAGAATGAGATGGGGTTGTCAGTGACCATGTTTGTTACACATCCTATTAAACATAATCTAGGTGCTTCACCCGGTACATGCGTGAATTATAATCTGTGATTTTGTATTCTTCAGCGACTCAAAGGAAGTGTGGGTCACAGTCCTCAACATTACGGGTCCCTTATCGAGCTGGTCCTTCGCAGACAACAAAATTCCAGGTACTATCACCGATCATCAACTCTTCCATCTGATTGGCGAAATGAAACCATTTGATTTGCTGATCAACTTTGGAAAAACAAATTGGTGTGCAGCTCCTGAAGTCATCAGTGAAGGCCCTGCGTCGTTCATCTGTAGGCTCAGCGGATCAAGCCATGAAACTTGGACATTCTGGCTAGAGGTAAACCAGCTGATTTCCCCGCTCTGTCCCATTTTCTTGCCTGGCAATCAATAAAGACCGAATGTGCCTCACTCACTCATCTTGAAATACTCCCTGGCGATCAGGCTAGCAGTTCGGAGAACCTGAGAGTGGACGTGGCGGTGTTAGATCAAGCTTTAGTCGACGAAACGGAGAAGTTGAAGGGGCTCTTCCCCGACTGGGTCGATGTCACTGCCTATACTGGTTTCTTGTCCAGCTATGTGTTTTAGTCAACTTATAGCGCTGTACTCTTCTTGCAACGCTAGTCGAATAAGGTGATTTAAGAGTAGAATAGGAGAAACTCGAGCCATTGTTTTGGCTTCTCTAGAAGGAACACGCATGAATTTAGGACACAAAAAATTCAAGCTTCCGTTAACACGACAAATGTTCTTGGCCAAATTTGCAATTGTTGCCAAGAATTGAATAGCAGCTCGATTTCTCTCTGATTGAAACATGATATTTGCTTCTGTATCTCGTTAGTCTACCGTGGAAGAAAGTACTCATTCATAGGGGTGGGATTCGGTCGGTAAACGGTAAATTGTTTACCGAATTTACCGGTTTCGATATACCGACGTTGGCGAAATTGGACTCGATTACCAATACCGATTTGTAACCGGTTTTACCGATTACCGAATTATCGGCAAACGATTACAAACCGGTATTACCGAAATACCGTGAGAAGCGACGTCGGCGACGAGGAGATGGCGGCGGGGGAAGCCGGAATGTGGCGGAAATGTGGAGATAGAAGCGCCTCCCCTATTTTTGGATTTTTAATTGGTGAGCGAACAATTAAATGGCATTAGTGGCAACCTCGGCACTCCGAAAGATTTTCCCTTTGATCCCTTTCTGATTTTTTCTCAGGAAACAAACCTGAGAGAATATTTGTTGCTTTGCTCCAGGGTTTTGATTTGAAGTCAAAGAGCGAGCAGAAGAAAAGAGAAACGAGAAAGAGCATGGATGGAAAAAGGCTGCTAAAAACTTGAAGAGGGTCGGGAAAAGTTGATTTGGCGGAGAGTGTGGGAACTGGGAAGGGCGTCGCGCATCGGCGAGGGAAGGGAGAGACGAGAATCAGGGATGGCTGAGTCAGGGGAAGCGCGCGAGTAGCCCGTTGCCGTCGCTAGACGGTCGTCGCCGTCGCTGCCAGCAGAAGGAGAGGCGATCAGTCGAAGGAAGACGAGAAGAGGAGAGCTGGAGAGGTCAGGTGGTTGCGCGGCGGGTCTCGAAAAAACGAAAAGAGGAGAGTCGGGCTCGGGCGGGGTCGCTGGGTAGGTGTTTTTAGGGTTTGGGAGAGACGCAGCAAAACGCAGCGCAGTGGGAGGGGGGATTTCGGTATCGGTATTACCGACTTACCGTCGGTATTTACCGATACCGTGTCCGGTAAACCGAGTCCCCCAAGTTCCCGCTCGGCCGCCGATATCGCCGATTAACGGTTTACCGTTTACCGGTTCGGTAAAACGGTATACCGTTTACCGGATTACCGTTTACCACCCCTACTCATTCATGAAGGCTTGGAAAAGATCCCAGTGAAATGTTCACAGAGGATAGAAATCGAGCCACTGCTTCACAATTCATTGACGTGAGAAAGGAAAAAAAGACAAGTATGATTACACCTTGTAACACGCCTTGGAGAACCACTGAATCACATATTGTTAATGTATATGCCGAGGGTTATATATGTAAATACGTATTATAGAAGTAGAGCTAGGGTTGGCCGAATAGAACCCTATATATATGTATGTTCGGCCATCCTAGAGGGGCTTGATCATTGGTGATAATATTATTGACTGAGAGTCAGCCGCTCTCCGTGGACTAGTCATGTTCATCACGAACAGGGAAACCACGTAAATCCTGTGTGTACTGTCTCTTTTACATGATTTCCGTGGTTTGATTGACATGGTATCAGAGCCGTCATAATCTGTGTCTGGGAATTCTTCGCTCCTGGCTCGTTTTCCGTCCGTGGCTTCTTGCGGCGCGGGTTTATTTTTTGGTGCCCTACTTCCTGGCATCGCCTTTTCTTCGTGTGGCGTTTAGTTTCTTGGTCGCCGTCTTGCTGTTTATTTCCGCGTCTATTGGGGACTCTCCTTCTTCCTATATTTGTGTGGTTGTGCATCAGGTATTCTGCCTACTCCCGTGGATCTAATTATTAGCTACTCCAACCCATATTTCGTTGCTTGCGTTCATCATGGATCTCGACCGCAGCGATGTCGTGGGTGAGAAATTGAACGATTCAAATTATTCTCTCTGGGCACTTCAGTTTAGCACCTACGCTGAGGGCAAGAGTTTGCTCGATATTCTCTTGGGCGAAACTGCGTGCCCTACTCAGCCTACTGCTACTTCGGAAAGTATTGCTACTTGGCGTAGCAACAATGCTAGGCTCAAAGGTTGGATTCTTCGATCAGTAGACCCTGTTGTTGCTCTTACTCTTCGATCGTTTGCTACTGCGGCTGAGATGTGGGCTCACCTGCGTGATTCCTATGCCCAGGTTCATCCTTCTCGACAATTTGAAGTGGAATTTCAGCTCTCCTTACTTGCTCAAGGAGACAAATCTATTGCGGCCTACTATCGTGCGGCAACAAATTTGTGGATCGAGGCTGACTTGATGACTGCCTCTTCTCTTACTCAGCCGCTGTCCGCCGAGGTCAAAGCTGTACAAAAACGGCAGCGTATGATGCAATTCCTGTCTAAGCTACGTCCCGAATTCGAGCCAATTCGTGCTACTCTACTCTCTCGGAACATTGCTACTCTTGAAGCTACTCTTCCAGAGTTACAACGGGAAGAACGTCGTCTCACTACTCAAGCTCAGGTGGACAGTCACCTTCATGATGCTAACGCAGCCTTTGCTGCTTCGCCTGCCCGCCGCGGGTCTTCTCATCCACCTCCTGGCGTTGGTACGCGACCTAGCTCAGGGTCCTCTACTCCTGCATCTCGTCCTCAGTTTGTCTCTCCTACAGGTGATGTTCGTTGCCACTACTGTCAAGAACCCGGCCATATTCAACCTCATTGCCGTGTTCGTAACCTGTGCACCTACTGTAAGCGCACGGGTCATATTATCCTCGACTGCCCTCGCTTGAAAAATCGTCCTCCTCGCCCATCTGGTTCTACGGGTCATGCTTATGTTGCTGCTCCTGGTGGTCCCGTTACTCGCCCTCCCCCTCAGGCCACTCCTGCTCCTCCTGCCGTCATTCCCGGGGTCTCTTCTGAGACGTTGGATGCTGCGCTTGCTCAAGCTCTCCAGCGTATCCTTCCCACCGCATTGAATGTGGCCTTCCCTACTGCTCCGAACCAAGGTAACAATAAATGGCTTTTGGATTCTGCCGCATTCAATCATATGACCTACCTTCGGCAATTGTTCTCTCATATACGCCCAGTTGACAAGCTGTCTCTCCAAGTGGCCAATGGCCATCATCTTCCGGTATCTGGTGTTGGGACTTTTCAGGGGTCTCAGCTTACTTTGGATAATACTCTTTACGTTCCTAAGTTGGTGCCCAACTTGGTTAGTGTTGGTCAGTTGGCAGAACGTGGCTATCGTATCACATTTGATGGGCGTGGTTGTCTTGTGCAGGACCCGATCACGGGGATGACCTTGGGCCGCGGGAGTAACCATGGTCGCCTGTACCAGCTTGATCAGTTCACACCCACTGTTGCTTCCCCACCGCTGGCTGCTGCTACTACCGAGTCTAGGGAACAAGCAGGCCTCTTGAGTCCTTTGTCGAACTCTGTTTTTTCTGTTCATGGTTCTGCTAATAATGTTTGGGATTTATGGCACTCTCGGTTGGGCCATCTTCATACTTTGAGATTACGTGAGATGTTTAAGAATAATTTACTTCCGGATCATTTGGATGTGTCTTCTATTCCTTCATCTCGTTGTTTCAGTTGTGCGGCCGCCAAGATGGTACATCTTCCTTTTTCTTCGAGTACTACTTCCATAACTGATGCTTTTCACCTCGTTCATAGTGACTTATAGGGGCCATCTCCTGTGACCTCTCGCCTGGGTTACCGGTATTTTGTGTTATTTATCGATCATGCTACTCGCTATACGTGGGTATATTTTCTTCGTCGCAAATCCGAATTGGTAACAGTTGCTCAGGATTTTATTCGCATGATCCAAACTCAATTTTCTAAGACTATCAAGGTGATTCGTTCTGATCATGGGGGCGAGTATAATTCATCTCCTCTGCACGAGTTTTATCGATCCCAAGGAATTTTGTCCCAACAGTCGTGTCCCGGTGTCTCTCAGCAGAATGGTGTAGTTGAAAGGAAGAACCGGCACGTTCTGGAACTGGCTAGGGCAATCCTGCTTCATTCTAGTGTACCGCCTCACTTCTGGGTTGAAGCTGTTCACACGGTTGTTCATGTCAACCGCCAGATCACCCCCGTCTTACTAAACCAGTCTCCGTACTTCCTTCTCTATTCTAAGCAGCCTGATTACTCTCAGTTACGTGTATTCGGCTGCCTTTGCCTTGTTCTCCTTTCTTCCCGTGAGCGCCATAAGTTAAGTTCCAAGGCAGCACGATGCTTCTTTGTTGGGTACAGCGATCGACACAAAGGTTTTCTTTGTTACGACCCGGTTCAGCGGCGACTACGCATATCTCGGGATGTTTTATTCTTTGAACACATTATGTTTCATGACACTACTTCTTCCCCAGCTGCTGCCGCCAATTGTGACTTCTTAGTTGAGTCTCTCCCCCCACTTTTGGACGATGACCTTGATCATAATGTTGATAATGATGCTGGTACGCTGACTCCTCCTACCCCTCCACTTTTGGACGATGATCTTGATAATAATGTTGATAATGATGCTGGTATGGATCCCACTCCCATTAATAGTCCTGCGGCTGCTCCTCTTAATGGTCCAGCCGAAGCTCCCCCTCGTCGTTCTACGAGGGCCACTCGTGGTCAGCCCCCGTCATATCTCACTCATAATTATGTTACATTTGCCCCGGCCCCGGTTGCAGTTCCTCGTCACTATCGTCAAGCACGGGGAATTCCTCATTAGGATGCGGCAATGAAACATGAAGTCGATGCCTTAGAAGCTCAACATACTTGGGACTTGGTCCCGCGCCCTCCTTCTACTGTTCCTGTTGTCGGGTCTCGCTGGGTGTATGCTATAAAGCTTCTTCCTGACGGTACATTGGAACGTTATCGCGCTCGTGTAGTTGCTCAAGGTTTTTCTCAAGAGTATGGCATTGACTATGATGAGACGTTTGCTCCGGTGGTTCGCATGCAGACTGTTCGCAGTATCTTGGCTGTGGCTTCCATCCGAAATTGGTCTCTCCGGCAGTTAGATGTTAAAAATGCCTTCTTGCATGGCGATTTGAAGGAAACAGTTTACATGGAACGTCCCCCGGGTTACTCTAAGGGTGATTCCTCTACTTTTTGTCTCCTTCGTCGCTCTTTGTACGGTCTCAAACAGGCTCCTCGTGCCTGGTTTGAGAAGTTTCATCAGACAGTTCGCCAGGCTGGTTTCATGCAGAGTACTAGTGATCCGTCTCTCTTCTTACTTCGGACGATTCATGGGATTGTTCTGCTTCTAATCTACGTCGATGACATGATCATCACCGGTAGTGATACTGATGGTATTGCAGAATTAACTACCTCCTTGCACTCGGCCTTTCACCTCAAAGATCTTGGCGAGTTGACTTACTTTTTGGGGTTGGAGGTTCAACGCAATGCCAATGGCATTTTTCTCTCGCAACGGAAGTATATAACCGAGCTCCTGGAGCAAGCTCACTTTGCTGATTGCCTTCCGAGTTCCACTCCCATGGAACATAATTTGAAACTTAGCCGGGAGGACGGTGAGCTGATTCCGAATGGTACTCATTACCGACAGGTGGTCGGAAGTTTGATGTATTTGCTTCATACGCGTCCTGATCTCGCGTATGCCATCCAGATCGTAAGTCAGTTTATGTCTGCTCCTCGCACAACTCATCTTCATGCTGTTCATCGCATCTTACGGTATCTACAGGCTACGAGGGACGTCGGTCTCCTTCTCCCGTCCGACGGTGAGCCCGTTCTTGAGGCTTACGCGGATGCCGATTTTGCTGGTTGCGTTGACACCAGGCGTTCCACTTCAGGTTGTTGTGTAAAGGTTGGTGGTGCGTTTGTTTCCTGGCGTTGTCGGAAGCAGGACAAGGTGTCCAAGTACTCCACTGAGGCGGAGTACAGGTCCATGTCTGAGGTCAGCTCCGAACTCATCTGGCTTCGTCGTCTTTTTGATGAGATTGGTTTTCCTATTTCTTCCCCGATGCGGTTATACGGTGATAATACCAGTGCTATCCAGATCGCCAATAACCCTGTTCTTCATGACCGAACTAAGCACATTGAGGTGCATGTGCATTACATACGGGAACTCGTTGCAGATGGATGTCTCAAGCTCTACTACGTTGCTTCTGAAGATCAGACGGCTGATGTTCTCACTAAAGTTGTCTCCTCGTCTCGACATTGGTTTCTATCTGGCAAATTGATGATGCGTACCGCTCATCAATTTGGGGGGGGGGGGCTGTTAATGTATATGCCGAGGGTTATATATGTAAATACGTATTATAGAAGTAGAGCTAGGGTTGGCCGAATCGAACCCTATATATATGTATGTTCAGCCATCCTAGGGGGGCTTGATCATTGGTGATAATATTATTGACTGAGAGTCAGCCGCTCTCCGTGGACTAGTCATGTTCATCACGAACAGGGAAACCACGTAAATCCTGTGTGTACTGTCTCTTTTACATGATTTCCGTGGTTTGATTGACACATATCTCCTAAAATTCTTCATATGAATGAAAGGATTGTCTTTGTCATGTCCATCAAAGGATCCAGTATTGCAAAGCAGTTGCATAATGTCAGGGTTGAGATCGAAACTCTATTCTGTGATCTCCGACTTAATTATGCTAGAGGTTATTTTGGCTGCTCTAAGGCGAGTGTAATCACCAACGTGTCAGCCTAATTGGCCATTGATACTGTTCCTTGCACAACACAGCAAGTTGCTATTTAATATACATTTACAAAAGTGCCCATTTTAAATTTAAAGCAAAATTCATATGTGTAACAAAAATTTTCAAGTTTGTGACAATAATAGTCACTTTTGGTGAAATACCAAAATTAGCCAGAATTTTGAAAGTTTCATGAAAAATATAGCCATTTCCGTTACATATTTTAACGACATCAGTGACACTGTTAGTCAAATTAACGGAATGCTTGCCTGGCTGCCAACTCCACGGACACATCATCGACAACTCACCAACACTTGCCACATGGATGCCTTGTCATATTTTATTTTAAAAATAAATGAAAAATCATAAATGAAAAATAATAAAAATACAATAATCAATTCTTCCCTTCATCTCCATCGACCCCACCCCGACACCTTCTTCTCCAACCCCCTCACCTTCTCCACTGTAGTTGCGCTTCCCGCCGGGGCAATCATAAGCTCTTCTACCTCACCCAGAAGCACGATTCTAGTGGCTCGTCACTCCACGCCCTTCCCTCCACCTGCTCCTTCCACCTTTGCGTGCACTTGTACCGCTTCGGCCTCCCCCACACCATGTAGGTCCTCGTGTCCTCGACGGCGTTGGCGAGACTCTCGCAGGGAAAAAAGAGAAACACTCCATCGTGCATCTCCCTCCCCCGATTGAATCAAATATGGCGTCTGCCAGGTCTTGGGAGTCTTTGTTAGTAACAAAACAACAAAGAGAACGGTTACCGAATCTGGAGTTGAGTCGCAGACTAGGTCGCTTTCTTTAATACATTCGCGACACTGCCTTCGTTGTGCATGGCAGACTATCAACCGGTTGTCTCCAGGATACACGTTGGTCTACTTGGAGTCATCTGATAGGGTATTTCAGTCCGCATCACTATACCCTTCTAGTACAGAGAAATTTTATAATGCTATATAGTATTGGTGCTATAGGTTTTTGTCTTTATAGTACAACTTAAAATTGTACATTTATGTTATGGTACAACTTCAAATTCTACCTATACTTTTTGTGCAAATTCTTTTACGGTACAATTTGAACTTGTACCTTTATGTGATGGTACAACTTCAAGTTGTAAAGTTGTACCGTAACATAATGATACAAATTGCTTTATGGTACAACCTAAACTTATACATTTAATGTTATGGTACAACTTTGAGTTGTACATTAAAGCATCAATACTATATAGCATAGTAGAAGTGCTCTCTAGTACAGCAGGAAACCTTTGATAGTCTATACCAAGGTTCATTGTTCTCTTCAGGTATCTCATGACCCTCTCTATAGCATTCCAATGCTCTCTGCTAGGACAACTATTAAACTCGCCAAGCAAGCAATCCCACGACGTATGCAATGTATGGTCGAGTGTAATCTGCCACATAACAGAGACTGCCAATGATGCTAGTATATTCAGATTGTCTTACACTGTCTCCAGTTTTCTTGAATAGCTTTATACTAGCATCATATGGAGTACTTGCAAGTTTACAATCGAAATAGTTATATTTGTTCAAGATCTTCTCTATGTAGCTAGATTGATCTAGATAATAACCATTTGTTGTTCTAGTTATATGGATTCCAAGCATAAATTTAGCTTCACCCTGATCTTTGACCTCAAAGCTCTCTCTCTCTCACCATGGCTTTTGCTTCATTGACCACATGAATATTTTTACCAAATATCATCATGTCATCTACATCCAAACATATGATAGTGCAAGTGTTATTCTCTAATTTGTAGTAAATACACTTGTCACTTTCATTAACCTTAAAGCCATGCGAGAGAACTAGATTGTCAAACTTCTCATGCCACTGTTTTGGAGCTTGTTTCAAACCATACAATACAGACTTTCAAGGCATGTTCAGGAATAACAAACCCTTCAGGTTGCACCATATAGATTTCTTCGTTTAGATCACTATTCAAAAAAGCAGTTTTAACATCCATTTGGTGTACCACAGGATTGTTCAAGGCAGCAAGAGCAATCATGACATGAATGGATGTTATTCTAGATATTGGTGAATAGGTATCAAAGAAGTCTACATTCTCTCTTTGCCTATAGCCCTTAACTACTAGGCGAGCTCAGAACCTTACAATTACCCCATCAGGTTTCCGTTTCGTTTTTAGAATCCATTTATTACCTAAGACTTTGCATCCAGGAGGTAAGTCTGTTAGATGCCAAGTCTTATTTGCTTCTAACGAATCCATTTCATCTATAACGGCCTCATTCCAAAAATCTGCATCTATGGAAGTTAATGCTTCATGCAAACTTTTGGGATCTTCGATGGTGTATACTATAGTAAAGTCATCACCCAAATCTTTGGAGATTCTAGCTCTTCTACTTCTTCTGAGTTCATCCTCAGATCCAACACCCCACTATTTCTGTTATCTCTAATAGCAGGTAGTATATTACCCTCACTATTTCTCATTTTAAATAGAAATTGCGTTTAAAAAAAATCAGCATCAATGGATTCTATTATAGTACGAGCATTCAAATCATAGATTCTATATGCCTTACTATTGGCAGCATAGCCAACGAAGTCACATTCATATGATCGACTAGCCAACTTAATCCTCTTAGGATACGAAATTCTTACGTAGGCCAAACAGCCCCACATTCTTAAATAGGAAAGATTAAGTTGCTTATTCTTCAAGATCTCATAGGGTGACTCTTTTCTATTTGTTTTTGGAAGACGGTTTAGCACATAGCAAACCGTCAACAAAATATCACCCCACCAAGAAGAAGCAGCTCCATAATTGAGCATTATAGCCACAACTAATTCTGTAAACGTCCTATTTTTCCGCTCAGCTTTACCATTCATTTATGGTGAATATGGTGTCGTGGTTTCATGAATGATACCATGTGAGCTATAGAATTCCTTGAAGGGATTAGAGTCATACTATGATCCTCTATCATTCCTAATTCGTTTTATTTTTCGATTGCACAAATTTTCAAATTCGACCACAAATACCTTGAACATATCAAGGGCCTCACTTTTGTTTTCTTCAAATAAACAAAGCAATAATCAGAGCAATCATCTATCAAAGTGATAAAGTATCTCTTGCCGGACCTAGTTAACGTCCCATCTAGTTCACAAATATCAGAATGAATCAAATCTAGGGGCTCTGATTCTGTACACACAGATTTATGGGACGTTTTCGTTATCTTAGCTTGGCTACAGAAATTACATTTATCAAATTCATTCATTGAGAGCTTAGGGATATGTCCTAGCTTGCTTAAATTCTTCACAAATTGTGTGTTCACATGACAAAGACGAGCATGCCAAACATTCAAACCACACAGCATGTAAACTGAAGAATTCATCTTATTAAGTTCAAAATTCAACTTGAACATTCCATTACATGCATACCCCCTTCCCACAAAACTCCCATTCTTAGTAAGAGTATACAAGTCACTCCCAATATTTTGATTAAACTCAGCCTTATTAGGAAGATATCTCGAAACAAGATTCATTCTTATCTCTGGAGTGTGCAACACATCCTTGAGCACCATCTTCTTTCCAGAGGTAAAGTTTAGCTCCAGTTCTCCAAAACCAGCAACCATAGTGGTGTGGGCAGTCCCCAACAACACTTTCTTGTCAGCACGTGCTTCTTGTTTTGTGTATGTCTTGAACATAGCACGATTGTTGCATACATGCTTCGATGCACCTGTATCCAGCCACCATCCTTCTGAGTCACCGGTGAGGTTGACTTCAGCAATCATATATGTGATCATAGCTACCAAGTCCTCTTCTATCAAGCTAACCCTCGATGCAGCAGTAGTGTTAGTCTTGTTCCTGCACTTTCGTGCCATATGACCTGGTTTCCGGCAGTTATAGCAGCGAAACAGAGTGTCATTCTGTGAGGACTAGACCATAACCCTTTGGTTGCCCCGAGGGACACCATTCTGGTTGGGGTGGATCTTCTGGTTCTGACTCTTGAAACCTTTTTGGAGAAGTTCCAGAGCTCTAGGGGTGGGTAGTTTAGTATTGACGACCATCACCTCTTCTTTCATATCCCGTTTGCGGGACTCTTCCTCTATCCTTAGGTGAGTAGTCAAACTTTCAAGTGAAAATTCTTTAGTTTTATGTCTAAGCATATTCTTAAAATCATTCCACGAAGGGGGTAGCTTATCAATAATGCAAGCAACTTGAAACTGATCGTCCAAAGGCATACCTTCAAAAACGATCTCATGAGCTATTTTCTGAAGCTCATGTGATTGAACTTCGACACACTTGTCCTCCACAATTTGGCAGCGCATGTATCAACTGAAAACATACTTCTTGGCTCCAACCTCCTTTATGTCATACTTCTTTTGGAGCGCATCCTAGACCATCATTGCGGTTTTGCTCTTGTCCGCATAGTAGTCGTAGAGATCGTCTGCCAGGATAAATTCATCCTCTCTTGCCTTGGCAGAAGCATCCCTCTCCCATCAGTCGGTTATGCAGGCAGCTCGACCGGTATGGTGGTGAGGCACTACGCCAACCTCTTGGTCGTCAGGTAGAACTCCATCTTTTGTCTCCAACGACGGAAGTTGACTCCAATGAAGCGGAAGGGTCTATTGATATGGAAAGCAAAAGATCCGTCCATATTGTTATGTTCAGTCGCCATAGTAGCAGCACAACGTCTTAAAATTGTTAGTAACAGAACAACAAAGAGAAAAGTTATTGAATCTGGAGCTGAGTCGCGGACTAGGTCGCATTCTTTAAGAAGTTCGCGGTATTGCATTCGTTGCGCACGACAGACTATCAACCAGTCGTCTCTAGGATAAAACAACTCCTCTTGGATGATCGGCGGTTTTGTGTGAAAACCGGAGCTCTCTAAACACTCTCTCGCTCGTGTTTCTGCTCTTCTGTGGTGTGTTTAGAGGGATTGAGGAGACGACTATATATAGGAGCCGAGACCCCTAAGAATATACCCTCTAACTTGGGGAATAAGTAAGGTTAGTTAGGAAGATAATTACTACCTTAATTAAAACGTGTTAGTACAGTTAAGGACATAAATAAATAATTAATTCAAAATTCAAAATTTCTCTAAAAAATATAAGTCAGTCCTCGGTCGATCCACCCACCCACTCACTTGGACGGAATGATGGCTTGCGTGCGTGTGGTGGTCTGTTAGGTCCTCCCTCTTCCACAAAAGTGGGTCACCCCAAGGGGCATACCCTTAGGTGAGAGAACCCAATCTTTATACCCCTTTGGTAGGAGTTCTCCCACCAATGTGGTATTATAACTTTCGAACCTATAGCTTTCAAAACCTATTCACTTACATTTTCAACAATCTCAAATTCTTTTTGACAGAGCAAAGGGGAAAACAGTAGCTCTAGATCTCGCACGAATAGAGAGAAAAGGGAGCTTCAGATCCCGACGAACCACCTTCCTTTTCTGCCTTCCGCCGCCGCCGCTAGTTGCTTCCCCACCGTCGCCCCTTTGTCCGAGTCACCTCCGACGAATCAACTTCCTCTTATGCCTTCCGACGAATCACTTTCAGTTTTTGCTTTGAAGATACAGAGTTGTTCTGCTATTGGATAAACCTTCTTCCTTGCTATGGTGGATTAGATTACTATCCAATGTTGTGTACATTGATGCGTTACTGTGGAAGTTTATATCCTTTTATGGGTTTTATGTGTCTTTGTCACTGCATTCATAGGAATTTTGACAGGACTGCCCATTTAGTGGCTAAAAAGACTCTTTTATCGACGGATTGATTAGCTATCGACTGTCGCATTTGATTATTTCATTTACTACATATTTATAAGCATATTGCATTGTACACCTACTTATGACATTATACACCTATCTATGACAAAAAAAACACTTAGCTAACCTACTGTCTCGCGCCTCTATAGAAGTTTGCGTTGGAAACCCTACACCAAACTCACCATTGCACCGACGTCGAGAGCTTTCTGCTCGCCAATGCACCAACATACAAATCTCCGTCTGCCAACCTGCTCACTAAGGCTACGTCCTCCGATGACCCCCTGTCGCGAGACAACCACCCCCTGTGACCTTCCTCCCGCCTCTACTCACAACCACCCCTACAGAACCTTCCGCCCGCTTCTGCGCAATTACCACCTGCTCTAGGTTTTTCCCAACCGGAGTGAAGAAGAAAGCTCGTTGTTTTACCACCTTCTTGCTGGAGAAGACGACTGGAAAAGGTAAGACGACATAACTCTTTTTCCATTCAAACCTTTTGTTTCCACTGGCCGAAATTCGGGAATGTCATTTAACCGTGGGTCGAAACGCAACGAAGCATGTGTTTAACCATTAGTCGATATGTGGTGCCTTTTGTTTACAACTTGGTCAAAACGTGCGAAGCATGCTTTTAACCACTAGCCGAAACGTTGCGCCTTCTGTTTACCACTAATCAAAACGCAGCGAAGAAGTTCTTTAACCACTGGTCGAAACGCAGTGAAACATGCTGGCAAACCTTGCGATTTTCCCATGGTTCAAACGTAGGGTAGCATGTGATTACCCTTTGGTCAAAATGCAACAAAGCTGGCGGTTAGCCACTAGGTAAATCATGTTTTGACTATCTTTGGCTAGATAGAAGGCCAAAGAAAGAAAGAAATGTGGTCACGGGTTTGTCTTCAAACCCTTAATTCATACTCCGTCGAGACTCTTAAGGATTTTAGGCTCTTGGACGGCGGCGGCAGAAGCTTCAGTCACGGTGGTGGTTGTGCGAGCAAACGAGAGGGAGGATGGCTCCGGGATCAGGTAAGGGTGGACGTCGGCATGCGTTGTCGTAGAGATGAGAGGTTTGTGTGGCTGTGCAAGCTGAGGAGATGGAGGAAGGAGGTGAGATGGGAAGTTCTGCGGCGGCGGTGGGAGGAGAGTTATGGGATGACGACGGTTGTGCGAGCAGGTTAGAGGGAAGGCAGAGGGATACGACGACGGAAGCTGACGAAGGAGTAGGGTAAAGTAATTTATTCATTGTAACTTGTGGTTTGCCCATCGGCGCTGGTAAGAGAGGGAGTAGTGTAAATTAATTTAAACATTGAAAAATAAGTAAATTATATATAAAAGATAGGACGACCTATAGTAATTTTAGGACGTTATTTAACATTTCAGAAAGCAATATGGGTGAAACAAAAATAAAAACAGTAGTGAAGAACACGCGTTCTAGCACTATTTCCTGCAACTAAAATGATCTTCGACACTGGTGTCAAAAAATTTATTCACTGTAACTTGTGGTTTAAAAGATAATTAAGAGGATGAGATCCTCCAAGGTTGTTTTCTCTAGACCTCCCTTCAGCTAATTACTCCATCTCTACAAGTTGTGCTTAGTATCCAAGTGTGGTTGAGGTGTCACTTGATTTCTTAAAAAAACAAGAAAATAAATACTCACGAATAACGATATAAGAGATTCATCAAAGTAACAAGAACTAAAGGCAAGCGAAAACACAAAGGTATATGCAGTAGACAAGGGCAATTATTATGCATATTATTATGGCATTGGCTTTAAAGGGGAAAGAAGAATTTCCAGCTTTTTAGGCGCAAAGGACAACAACGAGTTTCTCCCGGGAATAACTTCCCATGTGAATTCATATAATTATAATTAAAATATAAACCTATTTGTCCACATTCAATCAATTTTACCTCATCGATTTTTAACAAAGATTATACATAGTTTTCTGTTGCTATAACTTATTAGAGGTAATGAAAAAAATTAAATACTACATATTTCTTTCTTGAGTAATTAAACTGCACTTGTGTTTTCTACCAAAAACAAATTGCACTTGTGTTTGCTGATATAGACAAGTTAAATGTCATTTCTGACCAATGCTACTTCTAAACAAACATACAACCATAAAGCGCGCATCTCAAAATCCAAAGAGGGTGAAGATGAATGGCAATATATGAAAAACTAGCTTTTTCCCGACCCGTTGGTTGGATCGGTTCATTTTTTTCATATAATTTTTTTGCTCGGTCCTTGACCGAATGAGTTTTGTTTTATCATTTACATTGGTTAATTTATAATTATATATTATTCGACCCGTTGGTCGATAAAAATTTATTTTATTTTGTATTATTTAGATTTATCTATTTATTTATGTATTAAATTTACTGGGATTTTTTTATAGTTTTTGCTTGATTAGAAGGTGATCTTTTAGAAGAGACTTTACAATTTTACTTGTTCTTCCTGTCACTGGTAATCAGTATCCTTATAATTTTCATATTTTAGAAGGGACTTTTGTGTTACCACAAAATATAAATGGTTTAGAAGGTATTTATTCAAAACATTTGATCTCATTAGCTTGATATATGTTACTAACATATTATAACTTCAAATACCGTAGTATTGAGCCCAAATTAAAGTAACAAAATATAAATATAAAAGTATCAAATGCCAAAGAAATTTCTAGTAGTTAATTAAAAAACTACAACAAATACTATAATCTACATAGTCAATAGTTGAGTACAACCCCAAATTTACCTTTGATTACATAGACAATCTTAAAAAGTGAAATAACCCAAATCAACACTAGCACTTCCTCTATCTAATTAAATAAAACTTAAATTGTGTAATATTTTCAAAATAAAAGAACCATAACAATTTAAAAATGACATTGTTAAAATCTCAGGAGTTTCTTTTTCCCAAACCCGGTGTACAGTAAGATGAATGTTTTGTAACAAAGGATGTGAGATAAGCTCCTTTTTTTGAAGTGTGAGAGCCCCTCTTGCTTGTCTTGTTGTGCACCAACAGTGCTTAAGTAGCATGATGTAGTAGACGGACCAATATATCAGTTGTTGCGGCAAATATCACAACTGCAAATAAGATAATTCAACCATTATCGTTTGCATAAATTTACATTAAGAACGAAATAGAGTCTCGTGATACAAAAAAGTCAAACCAAAAGGAGTAGTGTCAGGAAGCACTTTAAAGGTAAAAACAGATAAATGAATCCCACTAAAAGCTATCAAGTTGGTGATCAGTTACCCGTTGGTGCTGCTCAATGGGGTTTATATCCCTAACCACAAAATGAAATTGCTATATTCCGAAAATATTCAAGACTCAAAAACCAAAATAAAAAAATAACAGACAAACCAAATCCCATGAACATCATGTGGATAACAGTAAACACATGATTCTCAACTACTCTAATTGCGAGAGCTTGATGGAGCGTCATAATTAGTGAATGGCCTTTGGGCTTCCCATCTCCAGTTATGTTCTAAAAGCTCATTATTAAGTTGATCTAAAAAAACAGAAAGGACATTAATTCTATCCACCAGCTTCCAGACGGTCGGTGGATGATTTCCCTCAATCCAAAGGTGTTGGTTCATCGAGTTCTCCGACGAATACTGGTCGCGAAATCCCTCCGACGCGGAAACTCCTTGTCTCCTCCAAAACGAAGTACCCCTTACATCTTAGAGCCCGATCTCACTACTTGTTAGTATTTCCTTCATTTTCAGTTCAACCAACCTCAATTAATATCTCCTTCATCTATTTAGAGCTGATGGTCGTAGTGTTCTAGCCTCTTGGTGAGTCTACTCTTAGTTCCCCTACTTACCCCATTAGTAGCTCAAAGTTTTTTTTTTTACACTCTATGTCAAAAGGTCATTTTGATGGATTCATGTTCTCCCACGACCAATTCACTCTACCGTCAAAATCAATTCGCGAATTACATACGATTTGCCAAAAAATTCCGTGCTCCCGTCAAAACCAATTTGCGAATTATACACGATTTGCTCGAAATTTGCATTTTGGTGAATTGGAGCATGAACGTGGAACTGGAACCCACAAATTCGGGTATCCAAAACAAAGTTGTCAACCCAGTTTGACCCGTTGGCCCGATTGAGTAAGTGGATATTAAAGAATAAATATTTATTGTAATAATGTGATAATAAGATGACTAAAATTTAATAACCCAACAATTTTATTATAAATCCCCCTCCAATTGCTCCACTAAATGCCCAAACCACATCATTCTTCCTTCTCCTCCCCTTCTCACCTACCCATTACCTACACGCAACCGCACAAATTCAAAATCCTAAAGAAATCAAAATCAATCCAAAAGAAGCTTTGACCTCTCTCTTCCTCCATCTCTCAATCTCCCACATTTTCTCACCCTCTCCCCACATCCTAATCTAAGGCAGCAACATATCCGTTGTCGCCCTCCCTCAAATTGGTCAAAGAAGAATGGAGCAGAAAACGAGTCACCACTTGCAAGCCAGAAGGGGGATTTTCTAAAGAATTTGTAGTAACTATGCTCCATCCAAATGTGCCCTCGACCGAGTCTATTATCCATTGTCCCCTTATCGACAAAAAAAAACAGAACAAAAAGGGAAAGAGTTTCAGAAATCCTAAAACACAAAAGAGGCAAAAAAAAAAAATCAAACATGTAACAATAACTAAACAAAAATCAAGAAAAACATAAGATTTCTTCTCCTGACGGTCGCCGGCCAGCTCGTTTTCCTAATATCTCCTCCTCGACAAAAAAAAAACAGAGGAAAGAAGGTTAGGAACCCTAAAACACCCAAAAGATTCAAACATGAAATAACAAAAAATTACCTAGATCTTTACCATCGTCGTCACTGTGCGGCGTCGCTTTGGGAAAGAATGAGATTGCACCTTCACTTCACTTCCTTTGGTTCGTTCTAGGAAAGGAAAATGACTAAGAAAGATCAAGAGAGTCGAGAGATGGATACTGGATCTGATTTGAGATTGAAAAGAGAAACAGAGGAGATATAAAAAAATTTCCAGATACAGAAGATATGAGATTGAGATGAGAAGAGATAGAGACCAAAGAGAAAGAGGGAATAGGATGAAATGAATTATTTAATTTCTTTTAGGGGCTCATTTTAGCTATTGCAAGAGTTTCTCTTCCCACCAAAATCCAAAAGAAGACAAAAATTAAAAAATACAATTTCCCACCCAAAACCAAAAAACCCGCTTCCTTGCAACGACGGAGTCGTATCTCTTTGCTAGGTCGAAGCCCAAATCATAGCGCAGAGCAGCAGTCAGCCCACTCGGCACATTAAATTATTTTGTCGCCACTGTCGAAAATACCCCTCTGAAAATCACTCCCGATGCAACAATTTTTGAATGGGGTTGGGAGTTTTCACTTTGGGTTATTAATATTTTTTTTTTAACGGGTAACCTGTAGAAATATATTAATCAGTGTGCGACAGTTACATCATCCAGTATAAGCTGGTCTACAAGGAAAATCGGTGGTCTATCGATCCACACTTCTCTGCTATCCCAACGGGTCTCGCTATGCGCCATGATGTGTGCTGCGTTGTTTGCTTCTCTTCCCACATGTGTAATACAAGCTCTGCTCGATCCCATCTCTTGTAAGAGATTTATAATGCGCCTGGAGATGACTTCTAGTTCCGTGTGAACACTATTTGGATGTCGAAGCTTCTCCACCAATGGAAGACAATCCAACTCAAGCTGTAGGTGCTGGAAAACCGCGCTGATGCGCGAGTTGGACACCAAGTTTCGCTGCAAGGGCTTCAGCCATCTCCAACTCGAAAGAACCCCGAACCTTCTTAGCTGCAGCCGCTAGGAACCATCCCTGATGGACCCAAAAAACAGCCCCGAGACCTATGCCTCCAGTTGCGAACAGGCTTTTATCTGTGTTCACTTTAATTTGTACCTCGACAGGTCTTAACCAGGTTGCAGCCGATTGGATGTCGTCCCCTGCCTCCTACGGGCCTTGATTTTTACTGTATTCATCCACGAGAGATATTGCTCGCATCACAATCTCATCCTCAGTCCATTTAGTGCCATTGAAGAGCTGAGCGTTCCTCTCCTTCCAGATGGCCCAGAGCAGCATAGCCCAATGCACCAAATTAGCTTGTCTTTCCAGTTTTATCACCTCCGCCACCCATGAACAACAGTTTGGTACTCCCGTAATGCCAAAAGCACTCGCCTAGGTTGTCCCTCTCCAGATCCTGCAACTCCAACTACATTCAAAGAAAATGTGTCGTTGTGTCTCCGTCGCATTACAAAACGGGCACTTGTCCGATCATCTCGGATTCTTCGCTGCCACCTTCTCACTTGTAGGAAGGATTTCCCTAGAGAAGTGCCACATAAAATGCGTACTTTAGGCGGGACTTTCATTGTCCGAATTGTCATCCAAAGTTTCTCGTCGCCAATCGGGGTGATACCTTCAGCTACCATGAACTGTGCAAGCCATCTTTGATACCCCTCCTCGTCGTAAACTCGCCATTCTCGCTGTGTCGCCATATAAGGCAATCTGGCTCCTCCGTTCCCCTGAGCGATATAGATAGCACGGTTTGGGCAATGGTTTCCGGGAAGCACATATTGACCAGCTCAATATTCCGGTCGTCTGTGTCTGGGTCGATGAGGTCGTGAACAGTTGAGTCCACCGGCAAGGTGGTTGGGGCGGAGTAGACAAAAGGAGGATCGCTAGGCAGCCATTAATCGTCCCAAATCCTAACCTGGGCTCCATTGCCGACTCTCCAACGAAGGCCTTCGCACAAGAAGTCTTGTGCACTGAGTAAGCTCGTCCAAATACAACTCGGCCTGCTTCCCAACCTAGCATCAAGAATGGAGCAATTTTTATGGTATTTCGCTGCTAGGATCTTGGAGATAAGCACCTCGGGACACACATGAAGAGACCATAGTTTCTTAGCCATTAGTACAAGTTGAAACCCCGAAGGTCCCTAAAACCAAGGTCGTCGTCTTCTTTCATCGTCACGAGCTCCTCGCGCCGAATCTAATGAGCCCTTCTTTCTGTGTTCTTTTGACCCCACCGGAAATTATTGATCAAACTGTGTACTTCGTCAATCAGGCCGTCTGGAATCTTACTTTGTGCTATTAATATACTAGTAGATGAAGGAATAACTTTGAAAAGCAAATGCAATCATAACCATAAATCCCTGAAGAAATTTAGGTTTCTACTTTATACCAAATTTGAACAATTAGGCCAAATTCCTATGCTAGTCGGCAAAAAATGAACAACCGCTAATTAATAAAACAACCATTATAAATTAAAGATAAAATTAAAACACCATTAAAACATCCTAACTCCTAATTAAAACAACCATTAAAACACCCAAACTCTAATTAAAACAGTCATTAAAAACACCCTAACCCCTAATTAAAACCAAAAAAATAAATAAAGGGTGGTGGCAGGACGCCCTCCCGCGTGCGGCGCACTGCCCGCTTGGGCGGTTGTCCCGCCACCACCTTCCCCCCCCCCCCCCAAATTAGCTTCCATCGCCATTTTCGTCCCAGTTTTTGGTGATACAAATGGCGATCTCCCCAATAATGGCACCCCTCTGCATTTATACGGCCACTTTGGAATCCTCAAGTCGCCATTAATGGTGATATCCCCAAAAATGGGGTGAGCATTGTAGTCAACCTTAAGTGTTTAATTTCTCTTATATATGGGAGAAGACATCAAAACAAGCGGGAAAGATGGGATAATTAGCATAAACAGTCACACAACTTATCACTTAGTACAAAACGGTCACTAAAGTTCAATTTTGTACGTTTCAATAAAACATGTTTAGACGAATAACAAAACGATCATTCCGTCCATTTCCATTCAAAAATCAATTTTTTTAAAAATATTAATTCAACCCGATCAGCACGTCATGTCATCCAAACAATTAATAAAAAATTAGTTAGTCAAACCAATTAACCCAACCGAAACACACCAACCCAGTCAAGTTCGACTTCTTCAGCAACGAATTCGATCTGGCGTCGCCGAGTAGCCACGTCAGCATCGACATCAATTTGATGCTTTTTATGACGAGTGTACCATAGGAGGAGATATAATGGGTGGACGGAAGAGCAATGCTTGTATTTTTTATGGTCCTCTTGTCCTAATAATGGTGATGGGAGTAATCCTAGTCCAATCGGTGGAAAGAAGAAAACAGAATTGGTTTGCTGGTGGGTTTGGGAGCTGGCGGTGTTCTATTTGGTGGGTACTCTTTGATCTGTATAATTTTGTACAAGAAAAGAGGGCGCATATTGAAGGATAGAGGGAGCGAAGACGAATTTGAAGAGCATGGTGGCAGCGTTGGCGGCGGTGATACGGGGTGGGAGGTGAGTAACAAGAAGGTTGACAATGGCCACAGGTTGGAAAGAATTTGACTGGGGTTGGGTGTGATTTGGTTGGGTTAATTGGTTTGACTAATTGATTTTTTATTAATTTTTTGGATGATGTGGCATGTTGATTTGGCTGAATTAACAGATTTATGGATGGAAATGGACTGAATGGCCGTTTTGTTATTCATCCAAACATATTTTATTTAAACGTGCAAAATTTAATTTTAATGATCGTTTTGTACTAAGTGATAAGTTGTTTGACCGTTTATGCTAATTACCCGGGAAAGATGACACCATAAGAATCAGGGGCGGACCCAGGGACGAGACACCCCTAAATTTTGGAACATCGATTATCCAACCTCCGACGGTAATTTACGTATACACAAAAAAATTATAACTAATAGTCTGGGACACCATAAAATTTTAAAGAACCAGTGTTATCAAAACCGATCCGAGCCGGTCGGTCGGACCGGTAAAACCGAGACCGGGCGACCAACTCGGCTCGAAACACTTAAAAAAACGTAACCGTTGAACTGACTGGCCGACTAACGGTTCAAATGGTTAACCGTCAAAACCATTGGACCCGGTCAGCCGGTTCTCGGCTATACAGTCCCTTATTAAAGAACTAGCTCGACGTCCGAGAAGCACGCCATGGGTTCAGATGCTGGCCTGTCACTTTGTTTCTCGGAAAATAAGCTTTTGACATCTTTTTTGATGCACACACTATTCCTTTTAGCCAACATTAGATTTTTTATCCAAAAAATACAAATTCAATCCCTCATGGGATATGGCGATTAGATTAATGCTGCTGCATGCGAGGCATTGGCAATTATGAGAAGGAGGCATTGGAATTTTCTCTTCCCAATGTCATTTTCACATCTCTGCTGGAATTTTTTATACTTTTTTATTGATAACATTTTCACAATGCTAAATAGGTAATGGGTAATTCTAAATTTGGGATTTTAGATTCAAAATAGAAAAATATATGAAGTTGATTATTGTTTCGTGCAGAAACTTGTCTCGTTGTTTTTATTTTAAAAACAATGCGGTTCATGAGATGTTTGACAATGAAACCTTAATATTCGTGCTTTAAGTTTGTTTAATAGTAATGAATTCTATTTTGAATTTATGGTTTAGTGTGTTTTATAATTTGTACTTATGATATTCTTATTTCCAAGGTACCGGTTTGTTAACGGTTTTTAAGCGGCCTAATACCGGTTAAACCAATAAAGTGCGAGCCGTTCACTATATCGGTTCATGCTCCTCACCCCCTTCAAGCACTAGCTTCCTTATAGCCTTCCGAGCAGTTTTGATCTTAACTGATTGGTGAAAGAATATGTTACCTTGATCCCCAAGCTTTAAGTAGTTTACCCGAGACTTAAGCCAGTAAAAACTTTCCTCAGCCTTTTTCAGTTGCTCGAGATGCTTGTTCAGATCTTCTACCTCAGTGAAAGAAGCACCAGATGGATTGGATAAAGCCAACTCTTGAGCAACAATCAGTTTACCTTCAACTTCTTTCACCTGCCTACTTATGTCATTAAACACTGCCTTATTCAGCCTCTGCTTGACAGCATTAAGCTTGGTTTTCACAACCAGTAATGGATTCCCTTGGGTAGGAGTAGACCATCCCTCCTCAACAATTCTGAAGAAATCAGGATGACTAGCCCAAAGCTCAAAATACTTAAACAGCTTAGGAAGAGATTTTTGCCCCGGTTTTGTATCAACACATACTCCACAATGGTCTGAAAAATCCCTACTAAGATCTCAATACCACAACTAGGAAAAACATCAAACCAAGCCTCATTAACAAGGGCTCAATCAAGCTTTCTGGCAATAGGGTTTCCCTTTTGCCTGTTAGTCCAAGTGAAGAAAGGCCCATTTGACCGATGATCAACAAGTTCCATATCATCAACCCAGCTTTTGAAATCCATCATACAGCTATTCACCATAGTTAAATTTGAAGTTTCCACTGGGGACAAGACAGAGTTAAAATCCCTTCCAACAATCCAGGGGGCTGAAAAGAGTTTAAATCTAGCCAAGTCCCTATATGTTTCTCTTCTTTCAATCTCATTATTCGAAGCATACACAGCTGTAAAGAAACAACTAGCACCACTCAACTCACGAGCCACACAATGCACATAATTCTTACTAGGTGCAAGAATCCTAAATTCAATGTCAGGTTCCCAGAATAACCAAACTCTCCCAAGATCACTTTCGACATAATTAAGATACTTCTTCCATCCCACACAGAAATCCACTACAATTTCATCAGACGTTGCTTTCTTTACCCTAGTTTCCAGAAGCCACCACATCCACTTTGTACTTTCTCAGGAATTGTGAGAAGTCCCTTCCCTTAGAGGGTTTGTTAAACCCTCTAACATTCCAGAATAAGATCTTTATCCTGGAGGGGATTGGGAACCCCCACCCTTCCTGACACCCTTCTTAGGAGCTGCTTGCAGCTGTGTAATCTCCCTGTCTCCTAAACCCTGTAGGGCAGCAAACGTTTGAGTCGTATGCAACACACTGGTGGGATTAGGAAGAGGTGACCAACATCTAGGCCTTGCTCCATTAACCACCTTTTGAAACTCATCCTCTGTTGGGAGCTGTGGTGAACTGCATTCAGCAACTGACTGGAATGTGTGCTCCAGGTTAATACCAACATAGTTAGATCCAATCAAAAGACTAGAGTGTTGCATAGCACCTTAAGACACAACACTCTTCCCCTTATCCACCTTGACTGGACTACCACTGTTATGATTAGGAGTGCTCTGAGTTTTATCTCCCCCAGTCTTCTTTCTTACCCAAATACACTCCACTTCCATGTTCTCTTGGACCCCTTTATCCTTCAGAGACACTCCTTCCGTCCACAACCACAATTTAGACCAAAAGACTGGCAGTGCCCATAGATAGGAGGAAAATGGCTATAAGCCACACCCACCGTAATTGATCGATCATCTGTTGGCCAGATAAGAACATGATCAGGGAATTCACCCAAAGCTTTCAACTCCACAAGAGCCTTCGCACAGCCAAGACAACCACCCATCCTCGTTGTGTGATCGACACCCAGCGGGATCCCCAGCCAACTACCCATTCGACTCAGACCCTGAAAATTGATATACTCTAGCGGCACATTTGTAAACCTAACCCAGATAGGCAGAGCCTTATTCCCCAAATCTTCAACATCAATCCCCGAGGTCCATGGTCGAAGATATAGCAAATTATCAGCATAGAACCAAGGCCCACTCTCCAGAATCCAATCACAGGTTTCTTGCGTTGGGAGTTGAATAAGAATCAATCGATTTCCAAGCAAAGAAATGCGAACTATACCATCCCGCCCCCACAATTTGTTCGCCCATCGACGAAGTTCCTGGAGAGGAGGTGGAGAGGGATGGAGGAACTGACCGACCAGACTATGCTTCCATCGGGCCGCTCCTTCATCACAAACAATCTTCAGCATGCGAATCCCACCTTTGAATACCTCCGGCGGGATAAACGCGAGACGATTTGCCTCGTTGATGCCAAAGAGCTCCGCCCAAGGCTTGACAGGAACCCCCTCACTACACAAAACCGCCGATTCTGCCATCGGACCTAAAGGAATAAAACTCGCACCGACGCAGATATCGGCACGGCCAACCAGGCCCTAGTCGGAACCCTGACTCACCCAGAAATTGGGAGGATTTTCTCTCACTACTCTCTCACAGTTATCGGGTTTGTCTTTTGTAATCATTGACTTTTTTAAGTTGTACGAACTAGTATTTTTTATTTAAAAATAATATAATTTTTATTTAATTTTATTTTTGAAGAGTACACTACTATACTATGTAAAATTTCTGGGTCCGTCAGGATAATGATCTCTTTGCAATCAATTTGATCTCATTCCATGCTCGTCTCTTGGAGACTTGGACTCATGTAGCCAGTCCGCTTTAGAAAATCTTGGTTCCTTTTGGACCGTCGAAGCCCATAAGGAGCTCAGCTATCGGGCTTGCGAGAAGCCCAACCCAGTTCCATAAAGTATCCCTAGGGTTCGCACGATATATAATCCCAACCCCGTCAATTACCTATTCTCTTCGCAGAGGCTGAGAGATCAGAAACCACAGCAGCAAGTCATCAATTCCTCACAGCCGCCGCCATGGTAGATCTCCTTCGCCTTCTCCCTCTGTCTGACTCTTCATTCCTCCATCGATGACCTCAGCTGTCCCGAGTCTCATGTTTCTCTAATTCCTTGCTGTGTTCTTTTCTGTTTTTTGCAGGTGAAGTACTCGAAAGAGCCCGAGAACCCGACTAAGTGTAAGTTCATAGCCGCGGTCTTAGGGTTTTACGAGCATGATTCTCTGTTCTCCGTTTGAGTGTAAGAGCGATGACGGTTCGATTTTCTGTGGTGTTTTGTGTTTGCAGCTTGCAAGGCTAGGGGTTCTGATCTCCGTGTTCATTTCAAGGTGTGTGTGCTATTTGAAATTTCCTCGTTGTTGAACTGAAATCATGGTGTTGCTGGTGTAACCTATTTTTGTTCAAGTCCATGTAGTTGGTGCAATAAAGCTCTTTGTTAGGGTTTTGTTGTGAATGGGTCTCTCTTATGCGTGTGGAATGTCAGTTTCATCGTTAATGATGATCTTCCGTTTCCTTAACTTGTTTTGGTTGAATCACTAAATATTCTCCTCATAGAAATCTGTATGACGAGCATGTTTATCTATTTGGAAGCTCCTAGATTAATCATGAATCACCTTAATTATGAGACTTCCATTGTTTGGCGCTGTTTAACTTTGTAGTTTGCTTCAGTTAGGTTATTATGTTCATTCAAACCTGTAGCTTGTTCTTCTTTTTGTTATTTTAGTCATTTGCTAGGCAAAGCTTCGCCTGCCCTTCCTTCATGGGGCTGAATTTCTTCTAGATTTGGGTCATATACGAGATAGAATTTCTTATATTAAATTGTACCAGAGTCTGCTTTTGTCTTTGTGGGTCTTCTGTTGAGGTGCAAAATCTCCATGTTCCATGTTTTTAACAGTGTTTCTTTGTTTGATCAATGTGTAGAACACAAGGGAGACAGCGTTTTCCATCAGGAAGTTGTCATTGGTTAAGGCAAAAAGTTACTTGGAAGATGTCATTGCCCACAAGCAGGCAATCCCTTTCAGGAGGTTTTGCCGTGGTGTTGGCCGAACTGCTCAAGCTAAGAACAGAGGTCATCCCAATGGACAGGGTCGTTGGCCTGCCAAGTCTGCCAAGTTTGTTCTCGATTTGTTGAAGAATGCAGAGAGCAATGCTGAGGTATTTTGAGATAAAAAAATCCTGGTTTTGGTTGGTTCTTTTGGTTTTTGTCTATGGCCAACCAATGAAGAGCCAATTCTGGGAAGCTCAGCCCCTTGCATATGCAAAATTTAATCAACCATATCGGAGTCTGTGGAACTCAACTATTTGCCTTTCCTTCCCCTTTAGTAATATGATTTTTCAATATGCAATGTTTTCCTGATTTTGCAGGTTAAAGGGTTGGATGTCGATGCTCTTTACATTTCTCATATCCAGGTGAACCAGGCTCAGAAACAAAGACGTCGTACTTACCGTGCACATGGAAGGATCAACCGTATGTTTTCTTCTTCTCTTTCGTTCCTTTGTCTGTACCACCTACGATGTCTAGTTCTGTGTTAATTACTCCTTTCTGTTCCTATTACAGCTTACATGTCCAGTCCTTGCCACATTGAGCTTACCTTGTCTGAGAAGGAAGAGCCCGTCAAGAAGGAGGTAATGTATTTTGTGTTTTTGTTTATTATATGCAGAAGTGGCCCAAAACTGGTCACTCTACAGTGTGAACTCAGCCTGTTCATTTATTTATGCCTTCTCCTTGGATCTTGCAGCCCGAGACCCAGGTTGCGACTACTGGGAAATCAAGGAAGTCTCAAGCTTTGCGAAGCGGTGCATCTTCTTAAGCGTGCCCGTATTATCCTGTGTTTCAGAGAGTTTTTGTTTGTTTTTCCTAAACTAGAGATGGTGAAGTCTATTTAGAAGAAGTGAATCGAACTTGATACATTCAGTGGAGTTTTGTATCTGCCTTTTATTGTTCTATCAAGAATTTTGTGGGTGGATATTGTTGTTTTCCCCTTTATGAGGTTGGTTTATGTTTTTCCATTGTGGAAGACTTCTCAGTTCTCCCTCTCTTCTCAGTTCCTTAAATGGAAGGACACTCTGGTTGGTTATCAGGTACACGTAGGGATGGCAACAAAACCCAAACCCACGGCTACCCACCCGACTCAAACCGGTTAATGTGGGTAAAATCTGTTTGACGGGTTTTAGGCCGTGTTTGGGTTTTAGCCCGTTCACTATTCATCGGGTTGGGTTGGGTTTGGTTTTTGGTAAACCCGACCTATCGGTACACGTCCACACCCATGTAGTTAATTTTCTTGGTATATCTAATATTCTGAACAACTAATCTTATTTATATTTGAGGAGACATGTCTAATTTTTTCTTTCTAACTGTGTAGAATGAAGTTGATGTCATCGAGTGGAGAGTGAAGAAACTTAATTGAAAGGAAAAAGCTTTCAATTAATCATGTTATTTATGGATAATTTGTGATTTGCTTTAATTTTATTGAGTTTTCTAGATTGGTGTTGAACAATTTGTATAGTTAATTTGTGATTTGCTTGAATTTTCTAGAATGGTGTTTTATATATGGATAATTTGTATTGAGAGATTGATATTTGACTTTAATTTTGATAGGAACTTGTTATTGTAAATTTTTTACGACAAAAACCCGTGGGTACCCATGAACCCACGGATACCCAGCGGGTTGGGTTGGGTTTGAGTTTTTCAAACCCAGTGGGTTTTATCCCGGGTTTTTTTCACGGATAAACCCATGTGTTTGGGTTTGGGTTTGGCAAAACCCAACCCAACCCGACCCATTGCCATCCCTAGGTATGCGTTACGATCTTGATTAGCTTGTAGGATATACAAGTTCTGCTCAAACGCTCATAACAAGTATCTCAGCCGGTTGGTATATATAACTTAGGGACTAGGGAGTGTGAAATCATATGGTCGGTATTAGTTAATATGGTATTTTTAAAACCGTACCCGAAGTCAACGATAGAGTATGATAGTATTTTATACTGAATTGTAGTATGATCGTAATTGAATGGTTTCCCAACACTAAATAGTAAAATACTACCTACTAATTTGATTTTCCCAACACTAAAAGCTTTTCTGACGATACGGTAGTTAGGGTGGCAACGGGGCGAATCGGGGTCGGGTACCCTGGATCCTTGCCCACCCACCATGGGCTTCAGGTTTCCACCCTCGTCCCCAATGGGTGATCGGGTGCTCGTGGGTCCGTTATACCCGCTAAGAAAACATGATTAAAAAAATTGAAACTGATAAAAAAATTCTGGAAATCTGGACACTTTATTCATACTGACTGATCTGTCAAAAAAACTTGAATTACAAACGAAAGCTTGCCAAGCCGCAATTAACGTCACTACGCTAGCAATTCATCAACAACAACCAAAAACAACATTTGTTCCGTGTTTGTGAATTGTGATAGAAATGATCAAATGAACCAAACAACCAAAAAGTATAAGCCGAGTCTAAATTCTAAAGTCTAAATGTCTAATTCTTATCCAAAAACAGTAGACTGAAATAGCTGCAAGCAACAGCAGCGCAGCAACATTCCATCCAGGTTCCAGCAACATCGAATCATTGAGCAATCATCCACCCGACCACCCCTGACCCTCATTCCAATCGAAGTAAACCAGCAGACCAACAGACATCAATTGAAACTGAATAAAGAACACACAAGAGGAATGATTCAGTTAGTAAAGACTAAATGAATTTCACGTCTGCATCAACAAATAAAGAAGACATTTACCATGGTCCCACAGTAGATAACCAATCAGTCTTCATGGGCAAATGGTGATCTCATTAAGGTGAGTTCTGGACCTGATAAAGCAAAACAATGCAAATGTAACTATGTCTCAATGAAGTAATACAAAGAACTAATAGAACACACTATGGAATAATGATCTATTGATCTTACCACTAGGTTCTGCCTCTTCCACAGTTGTATCTTCGACTGCCATTGCTGAGAACAGTCCCTCCAATGCCTCCGCAGCAGCCTCCGAATCTGCAGAAAACTAGTTGAATGAGTTGATACTATTGTTAAAACTTAAACCAATAAACTTGCAATGAACTTGAGAGGTTTAGTTGCATGTTACCTCGTTGCATGTCCTCCATTATCGAACTCCTAATGGGGTTTGCCAGAAAGTCCCTTGCAATTGATTGCAAGGTCGGATACTTCAGATCATTCAATTTCCACCACAAGAGCATATCAAACTCTGTTGTCCGAGGAATGATATCCTCAGCAAGATACATATCCAACTGAGTTGTAATCAAGGAAGTCTTACTCTTTTTCCTTTGACTTACAAAGAGTTCAAAGTCAAGTTCAGTGACAGAGGCAGATCCAGAACCAGAAGAAGAAGTTCCAGTTTCATAACCAGATTTCTTCTAAGCTTTGGTTTGATAATCACGAATCAAACCACATATCATTTTCTTGATATTCTCAGCAACCAAACCAGTTTCTGTATTCCCAAACTTCCCAGCATAGTATTCAATCACATGGAGTTTATATCTAGGATCGAAAACAACCGATACAACAAGCACAAGATGGATATCATCCCAGTACTTATCACAACTTTAGTGACATTTGACTAGCCATTCCAAAAATCACAGGATTGAGATCAAGACCCCACTCATTCAGTTTAAGTATGAGATCACAAATCTTGGGGAAGAAAAGATTGGCAGTCGGATATTTGCAACCAGAGAACAACTCAGTAATCTCAGAAAAGATTTCCAACTTCCCAATCACAGTAGAAGCAAATTCTCATTGTTCACTAGAAGGAACTGATGTGTAATGATTGTCTCGCAAACTCAAACGAAAGAAAACATCCTTGTATGGAATAGCAACAGAGAGCATATGATAGGTGGAATTCCACCTAGTTGGACAATCAAGGACTAATTTTTCTCACCAGACAACTTAAGTTGCTTAGCAACTTCGAAGAAGGTTTGAACCATCTTAGGTGTAGTAAACTACACTCTCCCTAATCAAATTTATAGCATCCTTGATTGCATCCAAACCATCCCTTACAATCAAATTCAAAATATGAGCAGAACACCTCATATGAACCAATTTACCATCAAGCAACAAGTCACTGCTCAGAAACTTATTTCTCATGTGGAAAATCATCGAATCATTGGTAGTACAGTTGTCCAATGTGACTGAGGACAACTTATCATCAATGTTCCAATCCAAAAGACAATCAAACAACCTATCGACAAGCCTTTCACTAGTGTGGGGGCTGGAACATACATAAACCTCATCATTATGCTACGGAGCTTACAAGAGTTATCAATAAAGTGACCAGTTACTGCCACATAACCCCTTTTCTGATTTCTGGCAGTCCACAAATCAGTTGTCACTCAAACCCTCCCCAGGTTACCATCAATAATGGTATGATGTTTACCCCTTTCAACACTATACAAACTCAAAATGTCCTTTTTGATAGTGTTTCTACTAGGAACAGCGAACTGAGGTTGCAGAGAACAACAAAATTGTTTGAAACCCACATGATCAACAAGACTAAGGGGGTACTCATGGACCAGAATCATGGAACAAAGTTCCTTTCTCGAAACCTCATAATTGTACTGAGAAGCAGAGAGTTGAGGATTTCCAGAAGGTTGATAGTTGAGACCAAGTATTTTTTGAGAACCATCATGTATCCTCTTCTGGATACATGTTTTGATATGGTTTCTCATGTGTGAAGTTCCATTACTGGTTTCCCCACCAAGGGGTTTACGACAGTACTTACACCTAGCCTTCATAACCCCATTAATCCTAACACGGTTGAAGTGACGCCACACATTAGAGGTTAACTTACGTTGAGCTTCCAGCTCCTCATCATTACCATTAACCAGATTAATTGCATCAGGAGCAGGTTGTTCAGGTTGAGGTTGGACAACATTTTCAGGAACATTGGCAGTAGGAGCACGTTCAACATTCATAGCACTTTCCATCTGATGATAATCAATTTATGTGTTGCTAATTAGATTATGCCTTAATTTAATTTAGTTACATTCACAAAAAAATAAGACGAAACTAGCAAACAAAACATCATTTGCAAGCTTGCAGCAAAAACAAGATTACAGATTTACAGTTTAATTCTTATTACTTCTTAGCATTATGAAGTCGTAGATTTTCACAACAAGTTGCACAACAATGAACAAACAACTCACTGACAAATGACAATAGACCGAAGCTCAAGAACGGGATTACCTTCTTCTCGACTTTGAGTTTTCTGTGGACTATCGAGTACCCAATGACAGTGGACTGATGCTCACAGCTCACTACTCAGTGCTCACTGATCACTCACTTATTCTGTTGCGATCCAGCCCTCGAATAGCGATTCAAACGAGTCCAACATGGCCAAAAAAGAGTGAACAAAGGGGAAAAAAACCAATTAGAGTTCGATTTCATGCATGCATGTCTGTATAGACATCACTAACCCAGAAAAGTCGACACGAGTTCAAGCTCCTTACCCTTGATGGACTGGACTCTGTCTGTAGGCTCGGCACAATCCCTCTGTCTCTGCTCTCTATGGTTTGGGGTGTTCTGTTCTGGATTTCAGAAGATGGGGAGAAGGTGAGAAACGAGCTCTGAAATTCCTCCTATATATAGTTGTACAAGAGTCAAGAGTTAGTACAGATTTTGGGGATACAAGATTTTCACAAAAAATTCTAATTAACTTATCTGTTGCTAAAGATTTGGCGATTTGAACTCCAAATGAGTCATTTCTGGACTGTGCTCGACGAAATCATCGTCGGGTGGTTGCTCTTCCAGCCATGCAATTGGTCGAATGGACAAATTGGAGACAGATCCTAAGGAAACTGACACGACCCGCTCTTTTTGAAAACCAAACCATAACTCAAACCAAAAATCGGTTACTCCGGAGCAACCCAAACTACATTTTAAAATAAACAAACCGACATCATTTAAGAATTTTTTTCCGAAAAGCCCCAGCACTTGGGCAAAACTCTCAATCTCAAACACTTAAAACGACTTAACACAGAATCTCCAGTTTATACTAATAACCATGAAACAAAATAATTAACTAATCTAACTTGACTCCTCACGAGCTTTCCGATATCCCGTCGACGCAGGTACTGCTGCTCGCCTCGCCCTGTTCCTTCTCATGATCCACTTCTGCTAGACTATCCTCAACCTTGTGAGTGAGAAGGGGTCAGTCTCGTTGTTACTTCCTAAGGTCTTTGCCCTAGGCAAACTCCTTACTAAACACGTTATTAGGGGAATGTCTTCCTTAGGCGAAAGTCGTTCTCACTTTCATCCTTTAAACTTTACTATCAAACAGTCTATAAGAGATCTCTACTCCGATCTTATCTTTAAAATTTCCTTACTCAACTTCTTAATCCAAAGACACCAACACAAGGGACCACCGCGTTACGTCTCGCTGTCCGGTGTCCCTACCCTAGTATGCCAACCGCGTTACGTCTCGCCGTCCAGTCCATGCCTGTCAACTACTGCGTTACGTCTCGCCGTCTAGTAGTGACCCAACATACTCGATCAACTGTTGCGTTACGTCTCGCCGTCCAGCAGTGACCCGACCATCTACCGCGTCCAGTAGTGGCCCAACCGTCCGGGGGTTCCTCTTACCATCAATCAACTATTACAATCATACAACCATACATTCGTACATAGCACAACGCGTGCCTCCACCCTTACAAGCGGTGGGATGCCTCACACACATATCGCGCATTACTCAAAAATTAACTAATTAATAACTTGAATGAAAGCATAAACTGAAAGACCTACGACAGAGATTTTACCCCCTTTACACTCACCTCGAAAAGATGACTCCTCAACTCCTTCCTCGAAGAAACCCCTCCTTAGCCGGATTATCCCAGGACACCTATTAATAAGAAGTTCATACTCTAAGACAACCTTTCTCGATTTAAAAGCCTCCTTTTTACCAACCTAGACACCCTCTACTCAAAGTCCCATCCTCGAGAGGGTCGGGGGTCGGGGGATTTAATTGCTTGGGGAATTAGAGAGGGTCGGGGGGTTTAATTTGCTGGGGGTTTTTAATTTCCCTGGCCACAAAATTGGAGAGGCGGCGGGGAACTTTGGCAGGGTGGAGGGATTTATGAGCTGGGGCGCTCGGCCGCGTCCCAAATATATATATGCATAATTTTTTTTACACAAATAAAGTAATAATAATAATAATAATAATACTATTATAATATTATTATTCTTAATCCGCGATTGTAACTCTTAGTACGTAACCGTCAATCCAACCGATCACGTATTAAGGTCGAACCTAAATTTAAATTTTCGGAGTGTTACAGAAACTAAACGACATTTGGCGATTTTGATGAGGGAAAAGGCGAAAAATCGACCAGATCGCGATATCCTAGCGATCTGATCGCTAATCGCCAGAGAGGAGGCCTAGAAAAAGAAGGAAACTAGGGTTTCTGATTTTCGATTCGGGAAGTGAAGAATGAGGATGGAGGCGGCTACTAGGGTTTCTTCTGAAGGGTAAATGGAATATATATATGTTTATTCAATACGGCGTCGTTTTGGTAGACGGGTAATCCGTCGGGCAGATAGTTTACAACCCAACACCACCCGAAACCCAGTGTTGACGGGTCCCGGGTTCCCCGCCACTCATTGACGGGCCTTGAAGATCACACTGCTTGGACCTTAATCGAGCGGACTTCGGGCGGGTAACCGCTAACAGCCCCGGCCTGCCATCCCTAATTGTAGAGTTTTTCTATCGTGGTTTTATTGTGTATTATGATTATCCGCAGTCAGCGACAGTAGCTATTAACAGTAGCTATTAACCATTAGCCAGCCACAGCCCACAAGTGATTTGTATCTCAACTGACAACTATCATCTCTGCCCCTTACGGCTTTCCACATTGCATCCTCTAATGGGCCTTCGACCCACTAAGAACTCTAATCTCACGGGCCATGATCCAACTTTCTCTGTTCAGATTTCACGAATATTTCCCAATTATTTATTCATTTGTTTTTATTTTCTCTGGGCAAAGGGAAGAAGATTAGAAGAGTCGAAGACTATCCCAGGACTTGGTCCCCGACTCGTTTTCCCCATCTCATCGCTCTCTCTTATAGCCGCCGCTGTTGCTCACATCTCCTCTACCGCCGCCGCCGATCTCTTTTCTTCTTTCACGACGGTAAGTCTCCGGCCTTCCTCTACCGGAATTCCACTCATCTACCCTATCAGCGCTTCATCACTCCCGTCAATGAATTTCTCTTCCCAATTCCTTTGGACTCGATTTCGCGCTTTCGCTATCCCTAGAAATCGAAGACGATCCTCTTATCCTATCTCTGAATTTTGAGCATTTGTTTCTGGCTGGGATTTCGATCTTGCAGATGGATTGGCAGGGGCAGAAGGTGGCGGAGCACCTGATGCAGCTGATGCTACTGGCTTCCGCCGTGATGGCCTTCCTCACCGGTTACATCATGGGATCGTTTCAAACTATGATGTTAATCTACGCCGGTGGAATCGCTCTCACCGCCTTGATCGTAGTCCCCAACTGGCCTGGCTTCAATCGCCACCCTCTCCGCTGGCTGGATCCCCTCGAGGCCGACAAGCACCCCAAGCCGCCGCCCCAGCCCGTCGCTTCCAAGAAGAACAAGTCTAAGAAGTAGGGTTTCTCAATTTTCTGCTTTGTACTAGAATTCTCTGCTAGGGGATAATGAATCGATGAGTTCGATAGAAACTATAGCTAAGTATTTGTGTGGCGACATTTTGTTTGGGGGAATTCGTCATGAACTTTTCAGAAGTTTCAGCCTTTGAACACACAGAATCACAAGAATGATCTTTTCGATAGCTATGCTTCTCACTTTCTGATTTCTAGTTCTGGGTTGTTTCCCTTCGGATGGATTAATCCTCTAGGAGGTTAGTTCTCTCAATATCTATTACTACGAGGTTGAATTCCATGTAAGGAATTGGGGTTTTAAGTTAATTTGGGGCTGAAATTGCTTGGTAGTAGTATACATCGAAACTCCATAGTTAGGTCGGGATCGAGTTTATGAGTACAAATTCCCAACAGATTGATTACATTTTGATCCGACTCCACAGCTAAAGCCACTCTTTTCCATCACGGGTTGCAGCAGTATCCATTTACACAACAGCTGATACGGTAGTAAGAATTTGTTCTGTTCCACGGTAGTAAGTGTTAACGAGCGACGAGATAGTAATCTTCAATGGTATTAAGTTGGGTGTTCTCTACTGCTATTGTTCATACTCTTCCCTTAGTGCCTTCAAGAACGGATCATTCTCATCCAACAAGCTGTCTTCATCATCTTCAGCGGCCTCGTCCACTTCGTCTAATAACGACTGGTTCATCTTCTTCCGAGATTGCCTTCTATGCTTCTTAGGCTCCAGTCGGGGCTCTGCTTGTTGCTTACCCATACCCCCCATTTTGTATCTGAAAAAAAGGAAAACATAGGATCGATATTTTGAGATTTCATTCTATGCCAATGTAAAATCGTTCAAAGGCAGTGGAGAATGTGCAGCAGACATCGATCAGCTTGTCTTAGTGACCACATTACCTTACATCACCTTCTTTCTTGGTACCAAAAGTCCTCAGCTGAAACTCTTCCCTGATTCTGACCTCGTCCAGAAGCTGAAGGTAAAAAGGATACCGCTCCCAGTCTGCAGTAACAATGCACCCTTGCTCACCGAGATGCAAGCAATCGTTGAAAGAGCATTTCTCGAGCTCGTTGCTTCTCAGCATTTCCCTTATCTGCAACAGAATGAGTCAAAAAGACCATACATTCTGTTAAACAAATTTCCTACCTAAAGACTTGCATCACTTAACTTTGGATCCTACCTCAGGGAAAGTTTGCTGCAGAGACTGCTTAGTTACTTTCATCAAACTCGGCTGGTTAAACCCAGGAGTATCAGCCAAATAACCTCCACCAGATAGCGGGAGTAACGAAACATGACGAGTCGTGTGCTTCCCTCTGCCACTTCTCGTCGAAACTTCCCCAACTCGTTGTTCATCGGACCACTTGCTACCTAATAGCTGATATCAAAGATCAAACCCGAAATGTAACCAAAATGCTCGAGGAACTGCTAAAATAACTTAACATCATAGAAGATTGAAGATGATAACTCACTGGTTCAAACCAATTCTCCCCCTCTGCGGAATTGTCACCACCATGAGTATTGCTTCTCAAAACATTGATCAAGCTCGATTTCCCAACCCCACTTGGACCTACAACCACCGTCGTTTGGTCCTTGAGAATCGATGCGAGAGTATCGAGTCCATGTTTGGCTCCAACGCTACAAAACACAGGCTCATAACCCCACTCACCAAGCCTGGAATTCCAAGCATCAACTGCCTGAGAAAGAAAACCCAACATTAAGTTTAAGGAAAGCCAAAGAAACTGGAAGGGCAAGCGAACAATCCACATTCCAGCTTCTGCTCGTTCCAATGTCAATTCACTCAATTCAGGGCTGAAGAATAATGTTTCAGTAAGCTAACCTGAGAATCAACGAGCTCCGTCTTGTTCAAAGCCAGGGTCAATGGAATTCCCGTGGACTCAGCTTCGACGAGAAACCTAGTCAACGAGAATGGCTCGGGCTTGGGCTGCTCCATGGAGAAAAGCACCAGCAAATGATCGACATTCGCCACAGGAGGATCCAGAACCTCGCTGCTCCGACGAAACACGTTCTCAATCATTCCCCTGCGGTCCACCCAATCAATCGACCCAATCAAAACCCTATCCCCAACCATGACCCTTCTCTTTATCTTCTTCAGCACCGCCCTCACCACGCACAGAAGCTCCACCCCGGTTCCTCCGCCCCCATCGGAGCTCGGCGGGGATTCGGAATGGACGACGACACGCATGAAGTTGGCCTGAGCCGCGGCGACGGTGCCGATCGCCTGAGAATCGGCGAGATTAGGTTTTTCATCGAGGGAGAGAACCGGAGCTAGGGAGGAATACTCCTTCAACTTTTCTCTGGCTCTGAGTAAATTCTTGCTCGGCGGAGGCCTCCTCGAGGTGTTGTGCGGCTTCTGCTGCTGCGGTTTGGCCGCCGCAATTGAGAGGTTGTTGCCGCGGCGGAACCCGACGAAGCTGCGGAGGAGGAAATGTTGGTGGTGGAGGGACGGGGCGCGGTGGCGGAGGATAGAGAAAGAGGAAGCGATCGGCATGAATGCTTTTTTTTTTGTTTGTTTGTTTCCGGCGAGAGAGCTAGGATTTCAGGCGCAGTTTATCCATTTCTGTCAAGCTTTCCAACCATGGCTGAAATTCTCCAGTCGCCACGGGGTTCTTCCAGTGGATGGCGGCAGTTCTACTAGCAGTTACTTAACAGTAACCACCTGGAGCGGGGGACGAGAAAACGGCTGGGCTTTCAAGCAAGTGAGGCCCATAAACTGGGCCTTTTCTGAATGATATCCTGGGCCTAAGTGGGCCTCGTCGCTCTATAAGATGGAAATTGGAAACATCTCAAGAACACTAGTTTGTTTTGCTTTTATTCCCATCATAGTTTTTTTTTTTGCCATGGATATCCCTAAGAGAACAAGAGATACAAAGTATATAACAATATACATGAACTTTGTAGGTCAAATCACAAATGAAAAATGAAAAGACTTTTGCAGGTATGACAAAATAGGTCTTTACTATTAGGGGTGTTAATCGGTGCCGGTTATGTGGTTTAACCGAAAAATCACATAGAAAAGTTGGTTAATCGGATAACCGATAACCGATTATATACATGCGGTGTCGGCGTCGGTTGTTTTTTATGCATAACCGGCGGTTACCGGTGAATAACCGCAACCGTGGCGGTTAACCGCAAAACCGTCGTCGCCCCGCAATCTGGAAGAAAGATAAGAGAGCGAGAGAGGGAGTTGGCGGAATGGATCGGCATTAGGGAGAATGAAGTTGAATCGAGATGGAAGAGAAGGACAAACGGAGAGGCAAATAGAGAAGTTTCAGAGAAGATGAGATCGACGAGATAGGGTAAGAGGGTTTGTTCATATTATTTTCTTGGGAGGAAGAACTGAAGAGAGACGAGGAAGAAGGGTGAGCGGCCGGCTGCGGCGCTTAGAGTTTGATGTGGGTATTATTAAGAGAGACTATATACCCCATTACCACTAGCCCAAAAAATAACTAAATTGCCCCTTGCTTTTTGTTAAAATTACCCGCTAGCCGCTACCACCTTCGTCTCTTCCCCTAAACATGCCAGGTTTTCCCCAAAACGACCAACCCGCCGCTTCCCTCCTGAGTTCCGAACCCTTACCTTCCCCGGCGTCCCCGCCGCCAGTTGTCATCATCACCCTGCCTGGCGTCCCCACTGCTGCCTTCGTCCTCCTGCTCCCAGTCCCAGTAATCATCGACCGTCGCGCCTTCGTCAGTCGTCGCCATCGTTGCACCACCTGCCTTCATCCTCCCTCGCCCCCGCGATCCCGTTTGTTTCAGCTAACTGCAACACGACCTGAAACCGTCGATGGCGGTTTTCGGCTAACCGTCAAGGCAATCGGTGTCGGTGGCGGTTGAGGCTAACCGTCAAGACTAACAACCCTATTTAAAAAGATCAAAATCATGAACTAACCATGCTGAAAATTGAAGTAGAGCTGCAAGTCCTTGTAGATCTGGCAGGACGACTCACGCACTGTATAAGGAGGTTCACTTGCAAAATGAATAAACACATAAGCTAGAAAAGTAAACAACAACATTACAGGCGACAACAACGATGGGCTAGTGCCTTTGAACAATTTTCCACCAAGTAACTATAAACAAAGCAAATGAGTGAGATCCCTCTCCTTATCCTACCTCCTTCTTCCCTTATCCGTATCCTCCACTATATAATAAATCTCATTTCTCGACGACACATTGTTGTACTAATTGCAACTTTAGCCGAAAAGCAGTAGGAGTTTCACCTGCAAATCCAAAACACACACAGCCACCACTGTGTGGCTAAACCTCTATCCTTTGCGGAGATAAAATCCTGGACCAAACTCCTGAAACACAGAGCAAAGAATTCTCATAACAACATGACGAAAAGAAACAGACTTCTGCTTCGGAAGATGAACTACATGTAACAAATAATCCCATGTGGGAAAGAGAATCAATAAAATGATAACCTATAATGCTAAATAATAAAAAATAAGACCTAATGGCCAAAGACGGACTACAAGGCAACCTTTTAGGGGAAGACCAAAAAGACTAATATATATGGAATTTTTCAGGTAATCACACAAGAGAAATAAGGAGAGGGAGATGATCAAGAAGAATCTGAACCCTTGATAAGAGGGCTTGTTTTGCCATAGAATGGGCATCCCTGTTATACCTCCAACAACACCGCCTGTTGAAGGCTTAATTGCCCCCATCAAAATAAACTAATATATGATGAGCGGGAGTAATAGGAGGGACGAAAATGGTTGGACTAGCTCGAGTCGCCCCACTATTGGAGTCTCAACGTCTCGTCAATGGAGTAGCTTGGGCAAGATCCCACTCAGCCACATGCACATCATATTGCCTCAACAAAGCATAAGAAAGGAATTGAACACCATCATATGTAGCCGAGCACCTCTTATTCCCATCATAGTAAAAAGGTAATGTATATTTATTGTCCAAACCTTTTCAAAAAAAAAATTACTTTATTCAAATCTATAGAAATTTTATTTATTATCCAAACGTATTGTAACTAATCAAAGTCTGGGCATTCATTCTGTTACTGTTACTTAATTTCGTAACGAAGCTCCACGTCAGCGTACATGTCAGAAATTAATATTTAAATGTATTTTATTATTATAAATGTAAGAGTAATATCTATTTATTATCCAAACCTTTTCATATTCTTTTATTTATCCAAACCTATTGAAATACTATTTATTAACCAAACGTATTGTAACTGACCAACTCAACATCCATGTCATCATCCACCTCACAAAATTCATCAAATTTTATTTTTATATTTTAATTTATTTTTAATTTGGCTCTCTGCCTTTCCCCTTCCTCCATCGCCTCCTCTATCAAAGGATCTGTTAGATCCGAAAACCTAGAAACAAAAAGAATTTGTTAGATCTTTGTGGAGGAACGCAAAGAAACAGGTGATGGGGGCAGAGTGGCGGGAATCGAAGCCAGTGATGAGTAGGTAGGTTGGGGATAAGAAAGTGAGTCCGATTGGAGAATTGGGAGTCATCGGCAGCGGGGTTTGCTGGTCATACTGGGCCCAAGGACATAGTGGGATGAATGTTGTTGGCCTTGCGTCAAAAGGAAGTTGAAGGGATGAGCGGAGCTAGGGCAAAGCGGAGATGACTTCTCACCTATCGCTGATGCTGTCGTCGTCGCGTCGAACATCATCCTTTTTCTTCTACCAATGACTGTTCGGTCAAAGGGTGATATGAAGTGGATGAAGGGGTTGATCAATGGATGGGGGAGGTGGTCTTATGAGCTCGTTGGGTTCATCGATCTGTCAGGGTGTACGAAGAAGAAGAAGAAGAAGAAGAAGAATGGAAGGTCGGGGAATAAGCAGGAGAAGAGTTTTTTTCTTCATTTTCTCATCTATTTTATGATTTAACTAGTTTTTTCAATTAAAATTAAAAAAAAATGATGGGATAGTGACTGCCACGTTGGCTCCAACTCAGACTCCTAATGTTGAGTCAGCAATATTAACAGAATTTTTAACGATGAGTTAACATTTGGTTAATAAATAGTATTCCAATAGGTTTGGATAAAATAAAGGGTTAATATATTTGTATGGCCTGAACTTTGACAAAAATAAACATCATGACCAATCTTTTCGATCTATAACATCATAGCCCGAACTATACATCAAAATAACTAATTTGGCCAGAACCGACGTTTGACCGTTAACTTGAACGGTCAAACACGTTGACTAACGGTCAACGCGCCATGTCACAGCCAACTCAGCAAATTTCAATTAATTTTCACCTATTACTATTCATTTTTTCCATTTTGAATTAAAAATGTGAAAATGAAAAATAAATTTCAGGAAAAACCCGTAGCCCCTCACTCTCACCTTCTTGCCACCGTAATCCCTCCATCTTCTCTCTTCTCCGACTAGGGCTGTCCATTTGGTTTTGGTTTTTTGGTTTTAACCGAAACCAAACCAATTGGAAAGCTAATGGTTTCAGTTTTTCTGTTTTAAACCAATAAGCAACTTAATGGTTTTGGTTTGGTTAAAACCGAAAAACCAATAGAAACCAATAAGAATAAAATTATTTATCAACAAATATTTTTTTTGTTTCTTTTGACACGCATGCCAATCAATAATTTGTAATGGCCATTTACTATTATTATGATGTTTATTCAATAAAAAGGAGGGAAATGAGAATAAATATGAGCGTATGAGTACATGTTGATTTTTTGGTTATCCAAACCAAAACCAAGACCATTAAAGTCCTTATTGGTTTTTGGCAACCGAAAAACCAATAAGGGCCTTAATGGTTTTGGTTTTGGTTTTTGATTTTTCATACTTAATGGTTTGGTTAACCAAACCAAACCAAATTGACAGCCCTATCGCCGACTGCCTCATGTTCCGCACAAATCACATCCTAGCAAAATCCTCTGCCATCCCATCTTGCCCCACGAGTTTCAATTGGTACCCATTCAATAGTCGGATTCCTTCTCCTCTCTTCTTAAATAATCCAGATCTAGCAGCCACCACCGCTTGGCCACTGCCTTCGTGCGACAAACCTATTCGTGGAATCTGACACAGTCAATGGCCGTTCTGGGTGTTAGATTGAATATTGAAAGCCCATCAACTGGTGGGGAGAGGGATCTTCATCCGGGTGATGCGATGGTCGAAGAGGTGGAGAGGGATGGCCCCAACAGCAGCACGGAAGCACTATGCTCACCATTCCGCCTCCGACTCACCACCGGCGGGAGCGGGACGAACAGTGTAGGTGACCATTTCCCCAAAACCTGAGGTGTCGCCTGCTGTTGCGGTTGCTGTAAGCTGGACAGAGTTTGTTTGAAGGGGTCCATCTTCGTATATTGGAAGAGACAGTGATTGGCGAATTAATTGGAGATTGATTTTCTAGGGTTTCCTGCATCGATTCGCCCCTACCAATTTTCTTGTCGTCACCGCTGTCGGCAAAGTGGGGACTGGGAGTTTGGCGCCGGGGTTGGAACAGTTGCTATAATGGTGGAGCCTCAATGGAGAGTTCGTGTGACGGCAACGATGGAGAACTGGGGGAAAAGTAGGTTGGCTGGAGAGTTAGTTGTTTGGGGAAGAATTGGATGCCCAATTTGATTTTTTTCCGTTGAATCTGGATGCCCAATTTGTCTGGAGAGAATATTGGGTAATTTCCCAAATTTTTTTCTTTTTAACTTTTTTTAATAACTTTTGGGTTTTTAATTTTTCAAATTAATTATAATAATTCAAAATTATAGAATATGTGGAATTGATGAATTTTTTTAAGGGGTCGCTTGGAAGTTGCGATTGTTAAATAGATGTATTGTTGAGAATGCATGTATAATATTATACATGTATTGTCGAATTTGATGAATTTTAGAATACAACGTTTGGTATGTGTGATTGTGTATGTCGCATAAGCTAAAAGCTGAGACAAAACAATCTCAACTCAACTATCTCAACAATCACGACTAAAAGTTGAGATATAACAATCACTCAAAATGAGTGATAGTTTCTGTCACATCACAGAAACAATCCATGTTATGTTTCTGCTAAAAAAAAAAAAACGATGCATTGTAAACAATACATGCATAATGACAATCTCAACAAAACTATCGCAACTTCCAAACGACCCCTAAGTTTATTTATGCTGAGTTGACACTGACCTGGTGTGTTGGCCGTTAGTCAACGCGTTTGACCGTCCAAGTTAACGGTCAAACGTCGGGTCTGGCCAAATTAGTTATTTTGATGTATAGTTCGGGCCAGGATGTTAGATCGAAAATATTGGTCAGGATGTTTATTTTGGTTAAAGTTCAGGCCATACAAATATATTAACCCTAAAATAAAAGAATCTGGAAAAGATTTGAGTAATAAATAGACATTACCTTTTTTTAATTAAAAAAGATGCCCTCTCAGACCGCCACATTGACTTCCAACTCGAACGGTGGGGTAACAGTGGGATAATAAATAGAATTTCGATAAGTTTGGATAAAATAAAAGAATCTTGAAAATGTTTGTATAATAAACAGTGGGAAAATGTTTGTATAATAACAGTGGGATAAAATGTTTGTACAATATAGTACGGGAAAGTTACGTATAATATACATACAACTATTTTACTTCACTCTAACCTACGGTTATTTACTTCATTCTAACCTAATGTTACGTTTAATAGTACATTATTAGTCATAAATATATAAAATCATTTTTTAAGAATAAATAAATATATAAATAATAGTAAAGCTGACAATTTAATTCATTAAATACGGATATTAAATATGTTATACGGATTTTATACGTGTTTAGTAAGAGAGCCATCAATTAAATAAATAAATAAAAAGAAATGACTTGAAAATAATACGGATACGAAAGTTTAAAACGGATAAAAAAGATAGAGTAGTATTGAAATTGTTATAACTATTGATTTTCCCTTTTTGAAGAACTATGAAAAAGCATAGAAAGATATTAAGCAATCAACATTTTGCTTATAGATACAATCTCTCCATCATATCACTGCCATAGTGCCTTGACGAATAAATTTTTGTAAGTAATTAAGATTTTGTTGCGTGAAAGAAATAGTTTACAATCTAGCTATATCTATATCTATTTAAGGCTAAGATCGGGTGACTAAGAGGGATCCTTTAGTCACTTGCCTAAATCGATCTAAGCTCTTCAAATTCATTAAAATTCATTCACTCAAATTAATTTAATTTAATGAAGGGCAATGTAGTAATTACATGATTATTTAATTTTTTAATTAAAATAATAAATAGAAATAAATAAATGGCTGATGCTTTCTCTCCTCCCCCGACAGCGAATTTTCATTTTATCGCCGGCCACCAGGATTTCGGCGTCCCCTTCCCGCGGGCGTCCCCTTTCTTTTTGTGAGGGGATTTGGACACAAAGAGAGAGCCCTTTTTCTTTTGCGAGGGGATTTGGTGGAGATTGAGAGAGAGAGAATTTTCCGGTGATGGAGGATTTTCCAGTGGCATCGTATGTTTTGTTATGTTTGTAAGTATGTTTTGTGATTTTGTATCAATTCGGGTGTCGTTAATCATTCTAATTTGTCATTTTTATCTATTATATTTGTAATGTTTATATGATTAATTTGTAATGTTTGTTTGTCTAGTTTGTATACTTTTTGTTGTGATTTGTATACTTTGTATGCATTTATTTGTAATACAAGTTTACTGTTTTATATTGTAAGTAATGACATTTTGTACTGTTAGTATGTTTTGTAATGTTTTTCGGTCTAGTTTATATAGTTCGTATGTTCCGTATTGTTTGTAAATATATTTGTATGTTTTGTCGCTCTAGTTTGTATTGTTCGTACGTTTGTATGGTTTGTATTGTTTGTAAGTCCGATTTGTATACTTCGTAATTTTCCATATGGTGGCTAGGAAGGCCCTCACTTTGTACCCGGCTAGGAATCGTTATTTTGATTATCAGACCTGGCTGAGCTCCAGGGTGTAACTATCTTTTTGATCCTTTATAAGATTATCTCATGTCAAAAAAAAAAAAAAACCAAACTATCCATGTCATTAATTTAAAAGCTCTTTCCACTTTATAACCGTTAAATTGGTGTGTCCAGATTTAAGAATTGGGAGGGACTTAATCAAGTGACTAAGCAACCTAGCAGCAAATCCTCCCTCATCAATTTAAATACTTTTTAACACATGGCTTGATATTCATGGCATACAAATTATATGAATGAGTTGGCATTCCAAACCAACGAATCCCAAATCTCCAACCTTTCCATATAAACAACCGACATGGGGCATGCCGTCTCTTCCTTCTCCCAAAATCGGTGACTTTTTCCAGAAATACCACTGTTTAAAAAAAGAATTCTAAAAATACCACCCAACTCCAAAAAATTTCAAAAATACCACATTTTTCAAAAACCGTCACCAACCCTGCGGTTTACACGAAAACCGCTGGGCGGGGGCGCGGTTCTCCCAAAATTGACGAAAGGCGAGACCTGGCGGTTTGCGGCTTACGGCTTGCAAGATCTCAAAAAGTTTGCGGCCTCCATTTTTTGAATCCGAATAAATTTTTGAGATCTTGCAAGCCGGGTCCCGCCTTCATCTCGAAAAAATGTCATTTGCCACCCCGAACGAGCCTTTTTTTATTTCGTCAAACTTTGGGCGGCCATAACTTTGTGCTCCAAAATCCGAACATCATGAATTGTTTTTTTGATTCCGCATAACTTTTCAAGATCTACAACTTTTAACATAATCATAATTTCAAAATGTACATGGATTTGTGAAAAGTAAAGGTAAAGTTATTCCCACGGTCCCATATATCCACAAATAATTCCTGTTTTGAAAATTTCATCCTAGTAAAAGTTTTAGATCTTGAAAAGTTATGCGAAATAAAAAAAATTCGCTGCGATCGGATACCCGAGTGCAAAGTTACGTTCGTTTGAAGTTTCGGCCGAAGTTAGGAGTTTATCGAAAAAAGAAAAAAAAATTGGACCAAACCGCTGGGTGGGGTGGCGGTTTGGTCCAAAAAGTTTTCTTCTTATAACCGCCCCTTAGCCCCGCGGTTTGCAGGGGGCGCGGTTTTTGAAAAAGGGTGGTATTTTTGGAATTTTTTGGGGTTGGGTGGTATTTTTGGATTAAAAAAAAAAGTGGTACATTTGGATTTTTTCCCAAAATCGGGCTCAAGATAGGGTGGCAGGGTGCATAACCCATGCACCTATCAATAACCAAATCTGAACCCTTCATTTAGAAAATCCATATCTAAGGATGGAGAATTAAAGACCATTTTTATTTTCCCTAACTTTCTTAATCGGCTCATATCTTTTTCGTTTTAACTCGGATTTTAAATTTTTTTTTTTGCACAGATGGAACGAGTTCATCGTGCTATACAAAATGAGAACAATTTTCAATTTTTTTTAGGAAAAAAAATTCTGACCTCTCGGTACCAACTGCATACCATATGGTATTTTCTTCGTTTTTAATTCGTTTTTGAAAACGATTGCACAAAAGGGACGAGTTCATCATGATCTATTGGATCTACAAATTTTTGGGTGAACAAATTACAGGACCAAAAAATACCACACAATACCATACAATACCACCCTGGTACGGGGTGGTATCTTGTGATACACAATGTTAAAAGTCGTAAATGACAGTTAATATACTTCTACTATCATGTATTCAACTATCATACAGTCTTGGTTTGTTCATATCACCATGGTACGCTTTTCAAACCATAGGTATGCTCTTATTTCAATACCAGTCAATACCATATGGTATACACTGATAAAAATGGCTCAATTTGTTTTGTTCGAAAAATATATCAAAGTGGATATCATTTTGAAGAGCACAATTAATCTGATCTAACTGTGTAAAAAAAAATCGACTTAAAACGAGTGAGAAATCGCCCGTCAAAGATTAAAGAGGAGAAAATTAAGGGCTTTGCAAGAGAGAGAGGGATGCTAATGTAATACTGATGTGGAGGGGTTACTTATGATTACTCACCATAAGGTTACTGACCCGATCCGTTCCCAAAATCGGATTCCTGGATATTAAATTGGCAAATGGCATATTATTCTTTGTTTATTACATCCTTCGAACTTTCACAAAATGGGTTTCGAATAGATAGAGACAGAAGCGGCAAACACGGCGTTTTTTTTTCCAGTGCTTATTAGCTTAGTTTATTTATTTGGTTCAAATTCTTTCCTTGGATGAAATCCAAAATGGCTATTCAACGAAAAAAAGAAATCCAAAATGGCTCCTCCATAGCTAGTAACTTAAATCCAGTAGATTAGTTTTGAATTGGATTTTGATTATGTCTCGAGTGTTATTAGACTACAAGACTGTTTCCGATATAATTTGTTGAGTAATTACTTGTTCCGCAAGATATGAGAAGGGGAATAACAAATGTAACTTGAACTAAAAGAATTTTAAAAAAAATTGACGATCTTGAGTACCACTTTTAGACTACACACGTAAAATAAACAACATATAATGAAATAAACACAATACACAAACTTATAATTAGAAACGCAAAACTACAACATCTAGCTCTCCATCACAATTTCACACAAGTTATTAAGTGTTAGAATTTTTATTTCAAAAATCATTACATGCACAAATCAACAATTAATTATTATTATCTACAAAATAGTATAAGACGATGTCAAAATATCCTATTCGCCACGTCAGCCCCTCCTCGATTCACCGCACACTTCGGAAGGGCTTCCCCGTCATTCCCTTCCCTTCTCTTCCTCGCTTTCAGTCTTCCAGCCCAGGAATCTCACTTTTTTCTCTCTCGCCGTCTCACTCCCGCCCGACCATCTTTGCCACCATACTCGATCGATCTGCTCCCAAAATCCCCCATCGTCCAGTCTTCCAGCACAAAAAAAATCACTGCTTTCTCTCCCACGCCCACCGTACTCAATCTGCTCCGTAAATCCCCATTATAGCCCTCGCTCACCGAAATTCCCATATGTCTCTCTCCCAAGCCCACCGACTCCACTCGCTATCATCGTCTCTCTCTCCCAACCCCTCCAAGAAGAAAGCCCTCCGCCTCTCTCTCCGATTGGTTCACATCGCAGGGTTGACGAGACGCTCCCCTCCACACTGCTACTGCGACTGCCCAAACAACATCACTGCCGCGATAATTTGAGAATTCTCCTCTGTAAGTTCTCTTAGCCAGGTCGCTTCTATTTTGCCTTTGCAGAACCTGCTTGTGCGATCTCCCCTCTCTTTATTCCTTTTCTAATAGGAAATCTATGCAATTGAATCAGTTCGAATCATGGGTTTCAGTCCTGGACGATTCCATAGCGCATAATTCCTATTATCAAATCAGTCTTACTGTGTCTTAGGGGATTAAGGCCAAATTTCTTGGTTCGTATTCCCCTAGGTGTGCAACGACTGCAGCAATGCGGCCAAAATGTCGTGGCGATGACCCTCTGGCCAAAAAATCCTTTGTCCAATTCTAACTCTGCTACTACTCAATGTAATATCTCATTTTGTTCTTAGTATGGTGTTTTTTCTGAGATTGAAAGTCATATATGTAATGCAGTAAAAAGTTATTTCACGATTGTGTTGCATTATGTCTTTGTTAGGGAAATGAAGGGAAATTTGTGTCTCCCCTGAAGGTCCCACACTTGCTGAAGTCTACGTGGAGAGGGTGCGTCTTGAGGGTGATATGTGAATTGAATACTGTCTGTAATTGATAGGAAGTTGCAGTTCCTCTTAGCAGTTAGTAGTTAGCAGTGATGCTTCTTATTATTAATTTTCAGCTCCCTTTCGTTTATCGCCATATTGCGACTTTAGCTAGGAGGAGAAGTAAAGTTCCTTTTAGTGGTCCGACAGATACATTGAGTGCATTTATTTGAGTCTCACGTATGTGACTCTCTACCTCTTGCTTATCTTTGGTTTTTATTAAGCTTAGTATCATTAGTTCTATCTAATGTGATGAGCAGAACTGGAGAAGCATGATTGAGAAGAGTAGGATAAAAGGCATGATTAGAGTGGTTTATGGAATTATATAACTTATCCATTTCATGTTTCTTTGGTTTAACATTTAGCTGTTTTATGGTAATGTGAATTTGGAATTTCGACTTTCAATGATTGGTTTTCTGCAATTACCTATTATGAATATGCTTGAATGGATTCAGTGGAATTTGTTGTGAATTTGTTGTTTGTTGTATGTTGGGTTTTCATTCTTAATTTCTAATATACATAGGGTAGGTTCTGTCTGTAATTGTTCTCAAATATTTCTGCAAGTAATGGGAAAGGAAGGGTATAACTATGTACTCAAATGCCCTTCCTTTCTATATCTTCCCACCAATGTTGTTAAGGGTCACAATGTGAAGTTTCAGTTTCGTATTATGCTTTTATCTATGGGATGTGTAATTTTTTTTTATTCAGGTTCATGTTGAAACTCTGTTTCTAGGTCGTTTCCCTTATAGATTGTCTTCTTTTGTTCAATTTGAATTGTGGAATACCATGGAGTTCTTTGCCTGCAATATTTTCTCATATGTTGGATTGTTTTCCCCTTGTGGACACTCTTCTTTTGTTTCTCAAATTTGGTTCATAACTGTCAAATCAACCTCATGTCTAGAACAAGTCCAACTGTAGCTACTGACAAGGTTTGCTGCATTTTTCAAATAATCTGATTGTTGGTGTTGTGAAAGAAAAGCCGTTGGCAAGGTTTGCTGCAGTTTTTAGATAATTTGATTGGTGTTGTTTGCTGTCTTTCTTGCCCTTCTATGCTTTGGTTCATTTGCTTAACAATTTGGAAAATTGGATTTTGGTATAATTTAATCATCTACACGAATCTTTTTAATCATTTTATTTGCTTATCCAATCCTTCTCTTGGCTACCATCATTAGCTGCATGTCACACACATTACTCTAACTGTGCTCATAACCACACCAATGCAAGTAGCAAGCTGTTGTATTATGAGTTGTCAAAACTAATCAGCAAATTTGCAGGGGATAGTCAAAACAACTTCCCCTAGATCAAATATCTCAAGGTGTCCCTGTAATCCACTATCCTGCAAACTAACTCATTATTTTAACCACAAGATGCTTGCATTCCACCATGACCAGTTCGCTTCTATTGAACCAATCAATGTCCCTGGATTGAGTCTACACCTTCCTTCCAAATCCAATTTGCACAAGGCAAATTCTTTGACATTGAGTGGACTTTCCCACAAGACTGACAAGAACAAGTTTGCGGGAGAGACTTGAGATAAAGAACCTGTTTACTTCCATACACATCAACTCCACCACTGGCATGAGTCTTCTAAGTTTGAGTTAGGATAAACCATAAAAAGGACAAAGTCTCTAAACCCTTCTAGCACTTCCAATTTCCTAAACGTATTCTTCAAGGCATATTGGTTGGCACTATTGGATCGGTTGAAAGCATATTCCTAGCTGTGATATTCTACATCAAACACTCGAATACATTTTGTATCTACACGAACTTTCCATTCTGCTACCACTGCATCAGTTTCGTAGCTCATTATGTTCTGTTAACTGTCTATGTAGACAAACACTACTAAAATCGATGTTTTTATGAGGTGATAGCGCTCTTATACTTTAGTTTTTTTTCCCACGAAATAGAATCTCATAAGCTAAAAATTAATCGTCCATCTATTCTTCAAATAGAATAAAACAAAATTCACGTACATAATCTCTACGCACCCGGCCAACGGCAGGGCCCAACGCTAGTGTGATAAAAAGAACAAGTAACAACTCATGTCCTTGTATAGACCATATTAAATCTGTAGTATATGAACTCCAAATGTCAGGATTCAGTCTCCATACATTGTCATCAATAACCAATTAAACAAACAATCTATTGAATGGAATGAAATTGAAATTGAAATGAATAGTTAGTATATATAAAAGTTCAGAGCCATTGCTCTCCCGACCTCCACCCTTGACCAACGCCGACTCCCACCCTCGCCCACCGCCCACCGCCATCGTTGACCACGACAAACGAATCAAAAGATGCCGGTCACCCCAATGTACAAAATAGAATGCCACCTCCACAAACTTATGCCATGCCAAATTGCCAATCTCGTTTGAGACGAGGCAAACTATCTGCCTTTAAACTTCACGATTAATGATTTAAGATGGATTTGGATGACAAGAAAATTAGGGCAATAAATATAAATACATTTACAATTTAAACTCAGTTGGATCGACACGCGGTTGTGTGGTGGTCTCAACTCTCAAACAGTTCTATATATTTTTCTCGGTGTTTATGGTGTAGGGAATTTGTTCGATAATTTTATATTTTAAAAAAAAGACAACAACAAATCTAAATATGTGCTCACATCCGAGTTAATTAAGATAAGATAAAGAGAAATTGAAGCCATGGTACTTGGTAGTAATCATTTTGCACCCTAGAGTTAAGGTAACTAAAATATTGGAATTATTTGCTCTGACGATTCATTATGGATAACAAAAAATACTAAACGATGACATGAGAAGAGCTAGAAACCAATTCAAACGTACGCATCCAATTCATTTCATATGTTCTTTGTTTTACCAAGCAGGTTCACAAAATAAAACTATAAACATCAAGAAGGCCGAATGAACTTTCATTTTGGATGGATGATAATTGTCAACAAATTAAAAGTCAAGTTTTTCCATCCATAACCCTATCTATCTAATATCTATCGCGATTAGACTAGCTGGGCCACGACCAGGAATATCTGGCTTGAGTTGGACACACTCCAAGGCCAGCAACCACAATAATTCGTGTTTCTTTGTGGCGCACATAAAACGACGGATATCTCTGTCGCAGAGGCTCTCATGCGTCGCCGTCGGCGAGAGGAATCTTTTTTCATGTTCACTATTTCCCGAATTAGATTCACACAAAGAATCTTTTTGGACTTGTGGAGACAATGAGTTCTCAAATTCAGCAACGAACTTTTGCATTTCAAAATAAATTATGCTCCACAAAATAAGGCTGGGTAAAATCGTGAAACATTTTCAGCTTCAATGTAATTCAACTTTCTAACTATATGTCTAACACATTCTTAAAAATGAGACATGAAAAATAACTTTTAAATTAGAATTATTTATTTGACGTTGACATGGTAGTGAGCTGGACCGTTAACTGTTAGTCAACGGTGTTGACCATTTAAATTGATGGTCAAAACACACGTCCAATCAAACTAGTTTATACGGTGTATAGTTGAAGACAAGATAGCAATTTCTCCAACCACGAACCAAAGTTGATTATTGAATATAATTCGGACCAATTTAAAATATTAACCTAAAGTTAATTTTTTCATCCGATTGTCTTATAATAGACATTTTATGTTGTGAGTAACTCCGACATTTTGAGATATTGATATCAAACATTTATCTTGGTATGATTCCACTAAAAGTGGTTCATAGAGAATAGTAACCCTTTGCACGCATCTTCATAGAAAGGAGAAGAACCAATCAAAGTTCAAGAAGCTGTGATCCCGTGTACGCTAAGCGCTAAGCATATAATTAGAAATTTATAATGTGTAACATCCTATTTCGGCTAAACTCATATTTCGATCGGTGGAAATTATACGATTAAAATCGAGTGTTTTGATACTTATCCGGTCGATCGATATTCCAGCAATCGAAATATTAGTTTAGCCAAAATGGGATGTACATAATGTGTAGGCTTTGTATGGGTGGAGCTAGGCACGATTAATCGACATAGGGTGTGATTAATCGAATTGAGGCACGCTTAAGCATTTTGACAGAACAAAGGTAATAATTTGTAGCTAATATTTCCAAAACGAGGTCATCTCCTACTACCTTACATTTTACTCGACCCTTTGCCTTGTTCTTCACCATTATTGACTACAAACCATCCACAATCTACGACTTCTATAAACTTGTGATTCTAGAAAATTATGATATATTTTGCTTATTGTTGAGAGTTCTTATGTTACTAATCATTTGAAATTGAACTTAAAAAATTATACAAAATTGTTATTACTATTGAAAATGACTATTTTCACTATGGATGATAAAAATAACCATATTTGTGGATATTGGAGGTGATAAGTGGGCATGGTTTTCTCATTATCCAACCCGAACTCACCCGATTACACATGCATATGTATTTTTTTAAATGATCATTATTTTCTCAACATATTTTATATTTATCATATATATATTCATAAATTAATAATACTTTTACCAAATTTTCTTCATTTTAGTAATTTGTTCTTTTAATTTTTCACTAAAATTATGTCAGTATATGTGAATAGTTAAGAAAAATTATTTTCATGGTTAACCCTGGATACCAAAAACCTGATTGGATATGTGTATGGTTTCAATATTCTACCTGACTCTTGTATGGATATGAGTAAACCCGAACTATTTTGGGTAGGGTACTAGGGTATGCACAATCCTACCCCAAACCAACCCTTTTTTTTTTCAAGGCAAGGCCAAAGGGCATGTGACAAAGACTCGACACGATTACAAGACCTCTCAAACACTACACGTTAGTCCGTATGCAACCAGAATACCGATGAAAGAGCATGATAAGCCACTACTTGGGCAACTCTGAAGAAGTCTCGAGGAGTAAAGACACGACACTAGGGGTATAAAAAACAAAAATAAAAACCCAACATCTCCAAGATAGTCCCGCGAGCGAGTGTAGTTTCCTTTGGCGAATAATGTCGGATGACCTGTACAGAGTTGCCACAACAAAAAAAGAAAGTGATAATTTGACCGAATGGTCTAACGCGCCCAACCCAACTCTTTGCCATCCCTAATTTTTACTAAAACGTCTAGAACTGCTTAAATGTACTAAACACTACACAAGGCCTCAATGCGTACCTAGCGCCTTCAGCCTTCCAACCAATCCCACCCATTAAGTTTAAGTATGACGTAATAATACTTAGTTATTACTTATTACAAAGGGTAAATACAATTTATTAGCCAAATCTTTCATTTTAAACAAACTAATGGCCAAACATTTTAAAAAACAATTTATTAGGTAAACCGTTAACTTTCAATCCGGTCAACAGTTAGTTGACCTTGACGTGGCAAAATTATTGATGAGGTGAAAAGTTCTTAATCACGTGGAAAGAGAGCAAGCTTTTGACGTGGCAGGTAATTATTAATTTTAGTTAAATGTACATTAATATTTCTTTTTTTTTGAAAATATAAATTAAAAATGAAAAGAATCCTTCCCCTGGTGAAATGAACCCTTGTTCTTCCCAGCGAAAAAGTGGCCTCCTACATGAACTCCATCTCAACCTCTCTTCACCATTCCTCCATGATGCTCTAAAACACAACACCTAACAATGGCCAAGTGTAACCAATGAAAGGGACTGCAGTATAGTGGCACAAGTAATAAATATCGAATCCACGGGTCTCTAGAGTTACTATTACTCAGCTTCAGTTCATTATCTAGCAAACTAGATTAAGGATTGATTAACTAAACTACTCTACTAACTAAACTAATTAAAACTACTAATTACAGTTTGGGAACTCACTTAGGTATGATTCCCCCTAGCTCCTCAATTAGGTCCAAGTTGTAATTCCTTTTGGTTGATTTACTGTTGATTAAACTGCGGAAGATCCGACAGTAGCTTGGAATCTCTTAAGCTGACCAAGCCCTCTCAGTCTAACTATCCGGCAGACGACTAGTCTTCACCGGGATAGAAAGCTGAAACAATAAGCACAGAACTCCACTACTGGAATTGGATTCCAGTACAAAGCAGTAAACTGGCTAACTCTCGTATAGCCAATCTCCTACTACCGAATGATGAGACTCTAGCAACCTAATTAGATTCTATCTATCTCAGATTGCAGCAGGAATCAGGAAAAGTTGATCAGACTTCAATTGACTCAATAAACATGCATCATTCGATTATAATCAAACAATATAGCATCCAAAACTTCATACAAGAAAGATCCTAACTCATGGAACTAGGGTTCCTCAAAACCTAAGTGAAGGGAAGTTACTCCATAGAGAAGAGAGAGACTGCAGAAATCTGATCTAGATCTTCAATCTCCATCTCCAAGCTTGATTCCCGAGCTCCAATGGCGAAGAAATCCTCCAAAATAGCTCCAAGAATGTTACCAAGTCGCTCTCTCTCTCTAGGGTTCGTTCCTTGGGTGTTTGGGATCCAAAACCCAGCTCTCCCCCTTTCCTTTTGCTGAAAATCGGGTTTTAAACAGCAATTCCCGACTCACACGGCCAGGCCACACGGCCGTGTGGCTTTCCCAGCTGCCCGTGTGAAGGCTCGGTGATTTCCACACGGCCACATGGCCAGGTCACACGGCCGTGTGGGTTGTGCCCGTGTGGCTTGCTCAGCCTCTGTTTAATGCTTCGTTTCTCCCTCGTCCGGACTCCGAATCAGTCGCCGTTTGATCCCAGACGCTCGTAGTATCGTCCTCTTTCTTTTCATAACAAGCTTGCATGATTCTTTGTCCATAAAGTGAGGTAGAAATCCATTCTTCTTCAGGTCATACCCGAGTTTCTTCTCCCGAATCGTCACTTGTTCTCTGATTGACTTGAAACTTGCGCCTATGCTTCACTTTATGTGCTAGGACCTGAAATGTGACAAAGGAACACAACCTAGCGTAAAATAGGCCAAAGACACGATAATTCAAGCTCAAACAGTCAAGAAACAAAGGGGAAAACATGTGCAAATACCGAGTCATCAAATCCCCCCACACTTAACTGTTTGCTTGTCCCCAAGCAAACCTAACTCAAACCAATGCAGCTCTCCAGAGCTCTATAGTAACATACAACCCCGATCGTCGGTAGAGGATTTCCTAGATCATATAGCAGCTTACGAGGTCAACTGGTCTTCTAAGACGTTCCCTATCTCTCTCAATGCGAGTACTAGACTCAAGCCAGGATCATGAGAAAAAGTAGAAGTAAGACAGTCAGTTCATGGATAAAGGGACTCACACCATTCACAACCAAGGATTCGTTGTACCGGGGTGCTCTTTCACTTCATTTCACCGTTGGAACCCCTTTTTCTCACTTTCATTTACATTTTTTCTTTCATTTGGTGGGGTTCCAACTGCAGTCTTTTGCACGGTCGACCCTTATTAGTCGAGCAAGAGCAATTTCTGTACATCTGGAGCTCGCCAGAGTACTTCTTTTAACTCCTTTTCCTCAACTCGTGTGGAGGGTCAATGAAATTAAGGGGGCTCGGAAGCTCTATCCGTGCCCTTAAAAACACATCCTCAAGTAGGCAAACCGTTCAACGGGTGGAAGTTTTACTTGTACTAGAGATAACTTAGCTTCACCTTGTAGGAGTACCCCACTAAGGATCACTAAAATCTCTTCCAAAACCCGATTTTGTGCAATGAACGGTGCCGCACACGTTGGGCTTACCCCATGTTTAAGATTTAATGATTTTGACATGGAGGACCAACTGCTTCCCATTTTCCATATGAGCACCCTGTTCGATACACGAGTCCATAACATAATCCAAACAGAGTCACCATTACCACATGAATTCAACGGTCTTAGCTCCACTAATTCACAAAATCAACTGGCACAACAGAGAGCTAGATAGGAAAAATCTTATACTTCAACATCCTCCATAGTGCTACACTACCTCCCTAGGTTGCACATTACTATAGAGACTGTCAATTGAAAGCATACTGAGCAGGCAATTTGCAAGTAAACACGTACTTGGAGCCCTCAAATTTAAAAATTTGGACAGTGGACTAGGCTCCAAGCACACAAACAGCCAAACATTCACCCGCATACATAATCGAACATCCCCCCACACTTAAGCACGACATTGTCCTCAATGGAGGAAAGATAAGGAGGGTAGAACGAAGTTACCAGATCAAGGGTGAATGATGATGTACGGGTCAGGCAGTGCATTCCAGGAAGAGAGAGTAATCAGAACACAAACACCACACAAAATCTCACAAAGGTTGAGTTATTGACTCTAAAATCAAATAACAAAACTGACTCAACCGAGGAGAAATAGAGAAAGAAATGCAAACCGACTGGTTGGGTTGCCTCCCAACAAGCGCTTCTTTCACGTCGTGAGCCGGACGATGGCTCCTAAGTTTCGGTCCATGCTAGAACCTCCTTGAAGTTGAGGTTCTCGTCGATGAGGTGGAGTCTCAAGTCACGAGCATGTGGTGTGGCAGGTGATGAAGGCTCATGTAATTGATGCAGATGAAGTCTCCACCCTCGAGACCTCTTCTTCTCTTCTCTCGTCTCATTGCCCCAAACAAGATATGACAGCATCGATTGGCCACCATCGCGTCCACCAAGAGGGATCGATATTGATGTGGCCTTGGTCTGGCAAAGAGACACTGCAAATGGGTCCTTACTAAGCAGTTCCTCAAAGTTTGGTGGGGATATTACTTGCAACTCATGGCCGGTGCATGCCTCTTCCACCTCAACTTCATCCTCAGCCTGGACGCCAATTGCTTCCTCAACCCCCCTTCCTACTTCAAAATGTGGTCTCTCCCCTGGGAAAAGATCAAGAACCACCTCTTATTTTCTTTCTTCCTCATCATCCACAACTTCCTTCCTCGTCCTTGCTCGCTCTTCTTCTTCTAGAACATATTGGAGAGCAAGTCGCCAAGCAATTTCTTCAATCGGAACATCCTGCATCTCCTCAACACTCCCATAGCCTTTGTCATCCTCCACCTCTTCTAGCGTGGTAGCAGAAAGGTGATCTTGAGCAAGATGCGAGCAAACTTGCTTCACCCACTCTGTTTGCTTCGCTGAGCGCTGAACAGTCTCCTCCATATCATGGAGAAATGAGGGATCGGAACAGGCAAGAGTTTGATTTGAAGATCCATCTTGGAGCATGATTTCTCAGTGTCTCGAGCAAACTGCTCCACGAGAAGCCTTAATTGTTTGTTCGGATCTTCCAGTGAAGTGTAGCATGGCTCTGCAGAGTGGCCCGTGAAGGCCGCCATGGGTAACTCCAGCTCCGATGGCCCTTCTGGTTGTGGGAGAAAGTCTTCTTGGTAATGAGGTTGTTCTTGATATGCCCAGGGGTCTGATTGTTCTCCGTAGAAAGGGGGTTGGTACTGTAACCCGAATCCATAGTCTTCTCCTCCTTGATTGTTGTAGGGAGGCGCGGGGTAATACCACCCGGATGGTGGTGGATACCCCCAATGATTGGAGAAGCCATGCGGATCCATGATTCAGATCTGCACCAACAAAAACAAAAAAACAAAAACACCCAAGTGAAAAGCAAGGGTGGAAAAGAAAAGAAAAACGCTAAAGTAACAAACTTCTGCCTTTCCTAATAATCTAGAAAGTCCCCGGCAACGGCGCCAAAAACTTGATGACACAACACCTAACAATGGCCAAGTGTAACCAATGAAAGGGACTGCAGTATAGTGGCACAAGTAATAAATATCGAATCCACGGGTCTCTAGAGTTACTATTACTCAGCTTCAGTTCATTATCTAGCAAACTAGATTAAGGATTGATTAACTAAACTACTCTACTAACTAAACTAATTAAAACTACTAATTACAGTTTGGGAACTCACTTAGGTATGATTCCCCCTAGCTCCTCAATTAGGTCCAAGTTGTAATTCCTTTTGGTTGATTTACTGTTGATTAAACTGCGGAAGATCCGACAGTAGCTTGGAATCTCTTAAGCTGACCAAGCCCTCTCAGTCTAACTATCCGGCAGACGACTAGTCTTCACTGGGATAGAAAGCTGAAACAATAAGCACAGAACTCCACTACTGGAATTGGATTCCAGTACAAAGCAGTAAACTGGCTAACTCTCGTATAGCCAATCTCCTACTACCGAATGATGAAACTCTAGCAACCTAATCAGATTCTATCTATCTCAGATTGCAGCAGGAATCAGGAAAAGTTGATCAGACTTCAATTGACTCAATAAACATGCATCATTCGATTATAATCAAACAATATAGCATCCAAAACTTCATACAAGAAAGATCCTAACTCATGGAACTAGGGTTCCTCAAAACCTAAGTGAAGGGAAGTTACTCCATACAGTGGCGGAGCCACATGAGGCCAAGGTGGGTCATTTGCACCACCTTGGTCCAAAAAATGTGGAGTAATTGTATTTATGTGATTATTGATTGAATACAATATCTCCATATTATAGTTTTATGAAAAACTAGCATTCTGTAATCTATATTTAATTTTTAATTTATATATTTTGTAAGTGAGTTTAATATAAACAAATACTTGAAACTTAATGGGTGTTTGTTGCTATCAGTTGTCATTCTAGTGATGAAAGAGGACTTACTGCAATAATGAAAGTAAAGAAACACTTTTAAGTAAGATGACTTGTGGAATCATGAACGATTTTTCGTTGTGATATCTTAACATCTTTCATAATTTGCATGATGAATGTATTTTAGAAAAAGTTTCAAAACATGAACACATCCTGAAACATACGGTATATATATATGGGGAGTTCTACGGTACCCCGGGTGAAATCCGGGGTACCGCATACCTTAAGTAAGAAAACGCAATCTAGAACTTGAATTGGCTGATCTTTCGGACATTATACTATACTCTGACCCATAACGATCAAAATCTAGGTCTTAATTCTCTAAATCTTATACCCCAAGAACAATTTAATTAGAAACAATAATCAACGGTTATGATTCGTCCAAATATAGGCAAAAAAAGTAATACACCATATTAGGGTTTTTAGTTTATGATTTATATGATTAGGACCTAGGGTTCACTCATTAAGGGTTAGGGTATAGTATCATGCCCAAAAATCCTGCTAATTCGAGGTCTACATAGCGTTTTCATACTCAAGGTATGCGATACCCCAGATTTCACCCGGGGTACCGTAGAAGGCACCATATATATATATATATATATATATATATATATTATTTTTTCACGTTTGACCCACCTTAGATTAATTTCTGGCTACGCCACTGACTCCATAGAGAAGAGAGAGACTGCAGAAATCTGATCTAGATCTTCAATCTCCATCTCCAAGCTTGATTCCCGAGCTCCAATGGCGAAGAAATCCTCCAAAATAGCTCCAAGAATGTTACCAAGTCGCTCTCTCTCTCTAGGGTTCGTCCCTTGGGTGTTTGGGATCCAAAACCCAGCTCTCCCCCTTTCCTTTTGCTGAAAATCGGGTTTTAAACAGCAATTCCCGACTCACACGGCCAGGCCACACGGCCGTGTGGCTTTCCCAGCTGCCCGTGTGAAGGCTCGGTGATTTCCACACGGCCACATGGCCAGGTCACACGGCCGTGTGGGTTGTGCCCGTGTGGCTTGCTCAGCCTCTGTTTAATGCTTCGTTTCTCCCTCGTCCGGACTCTGAATCAGTCGCCGTTTGATCCCAGACGCTCGTAGTCTCGTCCTATTTCTTTTCATAACAAGCTTGCATGATTCTTTGTCCATAAAGTGAGGTAGAAATCCATTCTTCTTCAGGTCATACCCGAGTTTCTTCTCCCGAATCGTCAATTGATCTCTGATTGACTTGAAACTTGCGCCTATGCTTCACTTTATGTGCTAGGACCTGAAATGTGACAAAGGAACACAACCTAGCGTAAAATAGGCCAAAGACAAGATAATTCAAGCTCAAACAATCAAGAAACAAAGGGGAAAACATGTGCAAATACCGAGTCATCACTCCATCATCGCCGATTCACCCAACTTTTCAGAAGCAAAGAAACGTCAAATCTCACCCACCTAATTCTTCTCTCGCGTTTCTATGTCTCGCTGCGGAACTTACTTCGAATGGATCCCAAATCATAGACAAAGAGAGTGAGAGGTCAGCATCACCATCTAGCACCTATCGCTCCGATTCTAGATCCAAAACCCCCTCTTCTATCTCCGTCGGCGACGACCAAAAGGGTTGGGGGAGTACTTATGGCGGCGACAGGTATGTACTCGGCTAGCGAAACCGGACGGGATCGGCGGTGGAGGCTTTGGATCAACGACGCTATGATGGAGGCAGAGACGACGACTTTGGCTTTGTAGCAGAACTTAGCGGCCATTTCGAAGATCTCGGAGAGGGTAGCAATGACATGGATCAGATCTATTCCTTTGCAGGGGTGATGAAGGGTGGGCGGGGGCTGGATTCTTCAATAAGTTGGGTTATGAAGATGAAGGGTTTGGAGGGAAGCAACGATAGTTATATCTATTCTTTGCAGGGGGCGACGATGGGTGAGCGGCGGCTGGATTGCTTTTGGGTTATGAAGTTGAAGGAAGGGAAGAGGCCTAGGAGGAGTCACAAGATAATCATTGTTTGATTTGGTTTATCTTTTTCATAAATAAATAAATAAATAAAATTAATAATTACCTATGTGGCATGATAAAGTTTGACTTTCTTGTCACGTCATTAAAAAATTTCCACCTGATCAAGAATTTTGCCATGTCAAGGTCAACTAACTGTTGACCGGATGGAAAGTTAGGGCCTGTTCACTTCTCATTCCGTTTTCTGTGATTTTGGCAATGGAAAACAAAATCTGGAGAAATGGAAACTGCCATTTTCTGAAAAATGATTCCTGAAAACCTGATACTGAAAACCTGTTTAGCTGGGATTTTTGTGAAACCGGAAACTTTAAACTGAAAATGAAAACCTGTTTAGTTGGTTACTAGACCTAGAAATGAGAATTTTCCAAATTTCCTGACACTAGTACATAATTCAGTATCAAATAAGTAGAAGTACAATCACAAATGTCAAAGGAGTCCAGTTTGGAAGTCATCCCACAACTTGTCCGCTATTCCGTCACGTCGAATTTCCATTTGTCGTGTTCGGCTTGAACTCATACGATACTCCTCTCTTTCGAGAACTCCTTGCACTCCATTAACTCCCTCCTCCATATAATAATTCTGATATTCTTCAAATAGGACATCTTCACAAGAGTGAATCCTAATGAAGTTATGTAGAGCACATGTAGCAATAACAATTTGTGCTTGTTTCTTTAGTGAAAAAGAAGGCATATGTTTCAGAATTGGGAACCTGGCCTTCAAAACTCCAAAGCAACGTTCGATGACATTGCGTAGGGATGAGTGAGAATAGTTGAATATTTGTTTACGAGTTTTAGGTCCACCACCTCGATTGATTTCTTGAAAATGGGTAGGCTCCTTTGTTCGATATGGTGCTAGGAACCCAGACATGTTCGCAAATCCAGAGTCAACAACATAATACTTACCTACATTGTATATAGCAAGTCGATTAGTATATAATTACATGAGATTTGAAACTGTTTCACTGAGAATTCTAACATCATTTGTCGTGCCTTCCCATCCAGCCACCACAAAAGTAAAAAGCATATCGAAGGAGCATACTAGCATCCACATTTTGAGTTGTTGTCGCCTTGCGTCCTCGATATGGAATTTGTTCAGCAGTAGGAACAGATGCATCAATATGCACTCCATCTATAGCTCCAATGCAATCCTATGTAATCACAAAAGTGGACATGATCAACAAACATGTGTAAATATTGTACTAGTAACTATGGAGTAAGTATTTATTTACCTTGAAATATGGATCATGTCTAGAACCAACAATTTTGTCAGGGACGTTATCAAATTTTGGTGGAACAATAATCTTGTTTGCAAGCTTGACCACAACTTTCAATACTTTGTCAAAGTACTTTGAGATGGTGGCTGTAGAATGTTGAAACCTTTCGGCAATATCGCGAAAATCAGTAGCGTGACCTATAGTCTTGAGGAAGATGGCAACTTGTTCTTCAACTGTGACTCTCGTACTGGACTTTAACCCTCCATTTTGTTTCAACTCCTCACAAAGAGCAAGAAACGTATCTTTGTCCATTCGAAGTTGCTCATATATCCTTGTTGGATTACCATGAAGAAGCTCTTTAACCCAGGCATGCCCAGTTTTATCTGAGGTTCTACATGGCACTTTAGACACATTGGATCTCTCTCTCTCTCCAACAACCAAAATGCATCATGAAGATCCCCAAATCATCATCAGTATCAGCATCAGAACCAGAAGCCATATGTCTGCATTGCAAAATAATAAATTACAATCAAACTTTATTGAAATTGTGCTTACACCATAATAAGATAATGGTTCAAATAAAACATACAACCACAATCACTCAAACATTCAACTCAACAACATTGTTCAACTAAAACATACATAGCTTAAACACTCAAACACAAACACACAATGTCGGTGTTTTACAATCACACCAAACCTTCCATCCATTCTTTCTTTCTCTTCTCTGTCATGCGCAGAAAAAGACCGCGCTTTAGTGGATTATCATGGAGAACATCAATAGCCTTGACAAACACACTACCATCCACCTCCATCTCATCTAAAACCTTCATACACTCTGTCATAATATCTAGGTCCCTGTCCTACGAAGATACTTCATTCATAGGGCCTTTCACAGAAGATGTAGCAGTCTTGGCATCATGCCTATCATTTTTCCTTTTAGCACTCTCCGCCATGCTAATTATTGTCATCTCTACCGCAGTTGAATAGGTAGATTTGTTTGCTTTCCTCTTCTTGCCTTTGACCTTTGATTTGCCCTTTGCTTCCTTGGCGTGATCAGTGGCATCATCAACAAGAACAAAACCTTCCTCGGTGTCCTCTCTACTTTGTCCACCACTGCTATCTGAGACTTCTTGAGTAGAGACAAAAGCATTGCCACCAGAAGCAGTAGTGTCACCAAATATGATGCAAAGGTTGTTGTATTATGGACAACCATACTTCCTAAACCTAGTACAACCTTTTAGACCCTACACATTAACGTTCTAATAAATTCTAAGTTCAAAATCGAAACACATATTTATTGAAATCGAACGAAATGTTCAATTACCTGCTTACTCCATTTCTCCCAATGATCCTCAGTAGCGCTCACCTTTCCCGTTGCAGCAATGTAACTAACTACCATCTCACTAATCATGCCCTTGAAATCACTATGCCTTCTTCTAAGTTGGTTAATCGTTATAGTCCCTATTAAACTTACTCATTATTCCATTTTTTTATGTTGGCTCATCCTAATTTTGTGAAGGTAGTACTATTAAACTTACTCATTAGATGATAATCGTTATAGTCCCTATTAAACTTACTCATTATTCCATTTTTTTATGTTGGCCCATCCTAATTTTGTGAAGGTAGTACTAATCTTGCTACCCTTCTTCACTTCCTCGACCATCAATTCAATCATAAAATTCTTAACTTGTTCGGGCCATACATCTTGTCCTTCTACCACCACACAATCATTATCATTGACAGCTTCTGTATTCTCCATGAGTGAAACTATACAAGAAACAACAATCACGATATTATAACCAACAAACAGAACAATCGATAACCACAACAAACAACTACAATCACTATCCCTACTCTATAATAAAATGAAATTCCAAACAACAAATTAACAACACACAACAAATAAATTCAACTAATCCACATAAAACCATCTGCTACCAAAATAAATTGCAAAAAATAGAAGAAAAAAAAGAACAGTGGACTTACTCGTCGGTTCGTTGAGTTGTGGCTGGAGGGGAGTTGCTGGCCATAGGGGAGAGAAGCTGGGTTGGCGGGAGGAGCAGGAGGCTGGGAGGAGCAGGGGCGTGTCGCCTCGACCGTCGTTCACCTGGGAGATGGGTCGCCGAGAGGAGCTGTTGCGGGGAGAAGCAAGCGGCGGATATGCAGGGCCTCGACGACTAGAGGAGCAGCTGCGGGTAGAAGCTCGGCGAGAGGAGAAAAGCTGAGGCCGCCTCGACGAATCCCGGCCGCCTCGAAGAAGCTCGTCAGCTGAGGAGAAGATGTCTGCTGCTAGATGCTGGCTGCGGCTGGACTTAGAGATGGTAGGGTTTTGTTATTTCAATTGAAACGAAAAAAAAAACAGAAATGCAGTTGCTAGGTCTCGAAGACCCGATCTCATTAATGAAAACGGAAGAAAACCCGTCCTCTACCTTTCGGGAAAACCAATTTTTTCGTTTTCGTCAGTTACCTCTTTTCCTTGTCATTCGGTTGCCATTAACGACAATGACAACAAAAATGAACACGTTTTCTCTTCTTTATTTTCAAAATTTTGTTTTGACAACAGAAAACAGGAAACGAAATGGAAAGTAAACATGCCCATAACGGTTTGGATAATAAATTGTTTTTGAAAAGATTTGGCTATTATTTTGTTTAAAATGAAAGGTTTGGCTAATAAATTGTATTTAACCTATTACAAACTATAACTATTAGGGTGTGCCTACAGTGACATGCATGTCACGGTGACTTCCACTTTCCGATCGACCTCAGTTAGGATTAGGTCAACCTCATTTAGATTAGGTCGACCTCATTTAGAATTCGGTCGAGCTCATATAGGATCTGGTCGACCTCATTTAGGATTCGGTCGACCTCATATAGGATCAGGTCGACCTAAGCTGCTGTTTCAGTGTAAAAACAGTTCATGGTGCCTACTTTGGATATTCATATCATACAATTGGCTAGATGAAAATTGAAGACTAATGACTTGTTTTGAAGCTGGAGTGTCCCTCTACATATTGAAGTGATTGAGAGCTCGATAGGAAGTCTAGAAGACCATTTTTGAACCTCATCAAAAGGCTATGCCAAAGCAGGGAAACTGCCTAGAAATGGCTAAGTCTGGAAACGTGTTTGTGAAGTCTATTTTGAATCTCAATTCGAGAAGCATGAATGCGAGTCGAGTCAAGGCGCCTCTGCCACGTTAAATTAGGTATGTTTTTATACAAATTCAAGGCATTGGATGAAAGATTGGATATCTGTAAGGCTTCAAACAAAAGGGTCGAAGTTGCTACGAAGGCTGTTTTTCTGGCAGCCTTCGTAGCAACTTCGACCCTTTTGTTTGAAGCCTTAAAGATATTCAATCTTTCATCCAATGCCTTGTCTTTGTATAAAAAATACGTAATTTAACGTGGTAGAGGCCCCTGGACTTGACTCGCATCTATGCTTCTCAAATTGAGCTCCAAAGTAGATTTGACAAACACGTTGCCAGACTTAGCCATTTTCAGGCAGTTTCCCAGTTTTGGCATAGCCTTTTGGTCAGGTTCAAAAATGGTCTTCTGAACTTTCTATTGAGCTCCCAAGTACTTTAATGTGTAGAGGGACACTTCCGCTTCAAAACAAGCCTTTAATCTCCAATTTTCATTTAGCCAATTGTAAGATACGAATCTTCAAAGTAAGCACCATGAAACTAATTTTACACTAAAACAACAAATTAGATCAATCTGATCCTATACAAGATCGATCGAAAAGTGCATATCACCGTGACATGCATGTGATTGTAGTAAAGTTCTAACTATTATCATGGACAAAAAGAAATCTCTATAAGTATGGCCGACTAGACAACGAATCCTCCGCCCTCTGGTAAGCAAAAGCAACCAACCCCCCACACCTTCCTTCTTTTGAAAGAATATAATATAATTTCCGCCGGTCTCCTCTGTTTTCCTTATTCATTCCCCCATCTTTGCTGGAAACCAAACCAGAGAGATCTAAATCCCTGACGTGGTCTCCTTCTGTCAGCTCTATCTCCATCCCCATCCCTTTCTCAATATCAATCCTATCGCCATTTGCGCTTCTCGAGACAACACACCAACTCTCTCCCCCGATACCTTAACGCCATTGTTATAAGATCTCCCGCCGAACCGAACGATCACTCCCACGTTTATCTCTTAAAAGGATAAGGCTCCTTCTCCAGTTTATCCATTTCCTTTTCCTATTTCCAGGTAATTTACTCATTTATCGCTGCCTTTCTTTGTGCTTGTTAGGATGGTTTCCCAGTTTAGATCTCACTGCATTTCCCGCGGTTCACCGCCACACCTTTTTTTTTTTTGGTAGTTTTTATGGCACTTCTCCTGCATCGTATGCAGAGGTCAAGTTTGATGAATTCTGCGTAGTTGGGTGAGAATCTAGATCTAGCTGAATGTTATTTCTTGCCTCTTGTAAATTGACGAGTTGTTGAATTTTTTGGATCTGGTTATAGCATTTGGACGTGGATTTGAGTCTGTCTCTATCTGTTTGGGAGAGAAGTTGATGCTCTATCTTGATTTTAGTCGGTAATTTGTCAATCTCTTGATAAATCGAATTGGATGCCTAATGAAATGAGCAATGGAATGATGAATTTGTAGGAAGGATTTGATGAAAGCTCCCTGGCTCTTATTATTATTATGATTTTGGGTGGGTTAGGTAGGTGGAGATTTTGCTAGTTGTTTTAGAGATATCTTCCATTGTCAGAAAGTGGTGTTGAACAGGATAAGTCAACTGTTCTTCCCACTTTACCTGTCTATCCATTCATTTCAAAGACTACCCTTCTTTTTGGTTGTTGAATGAAGATGTGAATTGTTGGGATTAGAGTTTACACCTCAATTGATCTTCTCCCTTTTGTGTGGTTCTGCAGTTGTCATCTGCTTCCAGTAAAATGGAGGTCACAGGAGGCTAAGTTGTTGCATATTCTACGGGCTTTGTTTGGTAAGCATACATATAGTAGTTTGTGAGATGGCTAGAAATACAGTTTTCAGATACTATAATTGCTAACTTCTTATCATGTCGTCTTCTTTTTCGTTGTGTGCAGAAACCTTGGGCAATGTGTCAGGGCAGAGACCACGTTGGAGGATTAGGTAGTACTGCAAGTAGGGTAAATTTGAGCAACAATTCCAAGAGCAGCAGAACTTCTGGTATGGAATATGAATCAGACTGGGTAAGACACGGGAAATCATCGGAATTAGCTGATCAAGTGATTCGATCTGCAACTTGTTTCATGGCTTGGTCCTGTAAGATTCCTATAGGTGACGGTTATCACGAATTTCTTTAGCTCGAACAGAAAAGATCTTTCATTTTCAAAGCATTGATAGAGTTCTCAGGGAGATATAAAAGTCTTTTTTTCTTCAATCCATATCTCTCCTGATTCGCTTGAGAAATGGCGGATGTTATGTGTGCCAACAAGATGTATACTGGAACAAAGTTGTCCTTCTCAAGATCATTCATGCACAATAAGGCCACTCGTTCGAAGAGCAGCCCTAGATTGGTTACTAATGAAGACGACTGCTCGATGCTACCAGGGCTGCCCGATGATGTGGCGAAGTATTGCCTGGCACTGGTTCCTCGTCCTAGCTTCCCAGCCATGGGTGCTGTATGCAGGAGGTGGAGGTCATATATCAAAAGCAAAGAGTTCATTACTGTGAGGAAGTTAGCTGGTTTGCTCGAGGAATGGCTGTATGTCTTGCTTCTGGATTCTGGAGGAAAGAGAAGCCACTGGGAGGTGTTGGATTCTTGTGGCAATAAACATCGGGTTCTTCCTCAGATGCCTGGTCTTGTTAAGGCTGGGTTTGGTGTAGTTGTTCTGAATGGAAAGCTACTTGTCATGGCTGGCTATTCAACTGCTGATGATGGGACAAACTGTGCATCTGACGAAGTTTACGAATATGATTCAAGTCTGAACAGGTTTGCTCTCTTCTCTGGCATTCTTTTTATGCTTCAATTGGTCCATTTTCCCTGGTTCAGAATCAACGCCTCTAAGTATTGTCTTTTCCAAGTCGATTTAAGCTTTTATCATGGGCTAGTTGATTCATTTGCTAAATTATGATTTGCGAACTTCCCATAATTCTAATTACTGCTTTCCGCCCCATATCTGTACAACTGCAGTTGGAGCAAATTATCAAACATGAACGCTCCTCGCTATGATTTTGCTTGCACGGAGGTCAATGGCAAAGTCTACGCCGCTGGTGGTTGTGGCATTGATGGCGATTGCCTTTCCAGCGTAGAAATGTACGATCCGGAGACGGCCAAATGGACCCTGATAGAGTCTCTCCGTCGCCCGAGATGGGGTTGCTTCGGCTGCAACTTTGACGGGAAGCTTTACGTCATGGGAGGAAGGTCGAGCTTCACAATTGGTAATTCCAAGTTCGTCGACGTCTATAACCCCGATATGCAATCCTGGGGCCAGCTGAAGAATGGTTGCGTCATGGTCACAGCACATGCTGTACTTAAGAAGAAGCTCTTCTGTATGGAGTGGAAGAACCAGCGAAAACTGGCGATATTCGACCCAGAGGACAACTCCTGGAAGATGGTGCCCTTGCCATTGACCGGGAGCTCCACAGTAGGGTTCCGGTTTGGGATCCTCAACGGGAAACTTCTGTTGCTGGCTATGGAGGATGACCCGAGTTACAAGACCATGCTGTATGATCCTAAAGCTCCATCTGGCTCAGAGTGGCAGACTTCTGAGATAAAGCTGTCCGGCTTATGCTTATGTAGCGTGACCATCAAGGCATGATATGAATGGAGTTCTTGATCTAAAGCTAAAGCCTGCAGTTTATTGTTGATGCATTAGTTAATTCAGATCAGGCTGCGGCTTGTTTTCTGGATTTTTTTTAAATGTCTGTTGTAATCTCCAGTTTGAAGAGGTGTCTCGACTAATGTTGTTGCATTGATCATTAGTTTGAAGTGTTCGTTGTATTTTGTATTCTGTTGTGAACTTATGAATAGTGGTTAACTGGTTATAGAGAAGAAATCTGGAATGATGAATTGGCTTGTCTTTGCAGACGTTGGGAATATACAAGAATGATGTACTGTATTGATTTATTGAAGGTTGGGAAATAAGTTCAGCTTCGAGATCCATTTCTTTCTGGTGTCTCTCTAATTAAGGTTGTGTTAGCATTGAGCATTTGTTGACCTTGTATGAATATGGATAATTAACATCGAGAGAGCCTATATGTCATGTCACCTATGGACTTTAACCCATCACAAAGCATACAAAATTTCTCGCGTAGGGTCCAAGCCATTGTCCTATATAAGGAGGACTCTTAAAACTTCCAAGCTAAGGATGATCTTCTTGCCTTGCTACACTTTCAACATATATGGTATTCTCCCTAACACTTGTATCTCTACAATCATATACATCCATTCTCATATCGTACTAATTTCGACATCAGAGTGAGAAGATCGAATAAAAGAGTTCAAATTAGAGCCCCAAGCGTTATAATTATCAATCAGGGTTAATTGAATTTGATTGGCTTGAACCCAATCAACACATTTTCTCCTACAACTAGGACTGGAAGTTTGGTACTGTTATTTGAGATGATCAAATATTGTACCGAATTTACCACTATTTGATATTACCGAATATTGAGTTGTTTTTTAGGGATTGGGATTATGATTGATTTTGGGTGTTATTTGGTATTCGAGGTTATGGAATTGGAAGCGATATATACCGAGATAGCAAGTAATAAAAAAACTATAGTTAATTAAATATAACTCACAACTTCTGGTCATTGCTAACTCTTTCACTTGCAAGCACCCTTCCAATCTAAGCTTATCTTCCATGTTTTCCTAGCTGACTCTCGTCGCTCACTCAATCTCTTGTTTTTTTCAGAATACCAAAAAATATACACTCTCATAAGTAGGGATGGCAATGGGTCGGGTTTTGCCAAACCCATGGGTTTATCCGTGAAAAAAACCCCGGGGTAAAACCCACTGGGTTTGAAAAACTCAAACCCAACCCAACCCGCTGGGTATCCGCAGGTTCATGGGTACCCATGGGTTTTTGTCGTAAAAAATTTACAATAACAAGTTCCTATCAAAATTAAAGTCAAATATCAATCTCTCAATACAAATTATCCATATATAAAACACCATTCTAGAAAATTCAAGCAAATCACAATTTAACTATACAAATTGTTCAACACAAATCTATAAAACTCAAGAAAATTGAAGCAAATCATAAATTATCCATAAATAACATGATTAATTGAAAGCTTCTTTCTCCTTGTTAATTAAGTTTTTTCACTCTCCACTCGATACAATCAACTTCATTCTACATAATTGGAAAGAAAAAATTAGACATGTCTCCACAAACATAAATAAGATTAGTTGTTTAGAATATTAAATATACTGAGAAAATTAATTATATGGTTGTGGGCGGTTACCCATGAGGCGGGTTTACCTAAATCCAAACCCAACCCAGTGAATAGTGAACGAGTTTAAACCCAAACCCGGCCCAAAACCCGTCAACATAGGTTTTACACGCGTTGACCGGGTTGGGTCGGGTGGATACAGGTGGGTTCGGGTTTTGTTGCCATCCCTACTCATAAGTCCTTTCTCAGTCTTCACTCCATTGAATAGGATTATCAAGAACAAGAAATTGAGATATCACCACTCATCCCTTCTCTTCGTTCCTACCTTAGGTTTAGACAAATTCAAGAGTATTTGCTTAGTCTCATAGTCCCAACACTTGTGATGAGTCCATTCAAATGAGACTGTGATTGAATCCATTAAGTGGAGACTTTGATTAGTTTTCAATTTTTATTAGATTTTTCTCACCTCAACTTCTCATCGCTAAGGTTTTCAATCGTGAAACTAAACCTACAAGCCTACACCTTATAAAAATATGTATGATTAGAGGTGTTCAAACTATTATTTGTTAATGTTTATATTTAATTATTCATTGTGAAGATAATTAATTTGGTATTTGTTAATATCAATATTGTAGCGAAAAAATTGTGAGATTGAGATTAAGATGCCAAATTTATTTTAGGATCGAGATTGATTTTAGGAAACAATTTGGTATTTGAAATTTCAATATTTGATATCAAAATACCAATACCGTACCGATTTCCACCCTTAACTTGAGGTCATCATCCAAAAAATCTGGAGAAAACAAGTCATCTCCAAAAAACTAGAATTAAGGTAGCGGTTATAGATAACCCATTTGCAAATCGCAATCCTTGCAGACGCGGGACGCAATAATTACCAATAATTGAAATACCGTATAAGAAAAATTAGCAATATATTATTTTATTTTGAGACAATGGTTTAACCGCAATTCAACCGTTAAATACTACTAAATACCTTCTATTAATTTTTCTTCTGATAAGAGATTTTTCTAATTGAACAACAGGTATGGTACGGTCATTCAATCTACAAAATACATAAAGACAAAACATAGGTTAGATTTTCAGAAATTTGAATTTTCAGAACTCTAAGTGTTTTACGGAAGGGCAAAATTTTCAATTAACCTGCAAATAAATCAAACGCTGCGTTTTTATAGAATTCCTTCTTGGCAGCGCAGATACTATAAATGATCGGCTGGGTCACCAACTAGGGCAGCTATGGGCTCAATTTAAACTGGGGCAGGCTCGAAGCAGTTTTGTGGACGCTCCGTTTTAATTGGAGCTCCGTTTCAATTATTCGGCTTCAGTAAAACATATCCAATGATAAAAAATCCAAACCGACCACAGAAGATTGGTGGGCAAGCTAATCTACCTAACTACCACAAGACCAGAAATCAGCTATGCAGCCCAACAGGTCAGCCAATTCATGGCCAACCCGAGCAATGCTCGCTACAAAGCAGTTCTACGAATCCTAAAATACCTGAAGTCAGCTCCAACAAGTGGTCTTTTCTTCTCTGCCAACTCCAATCTTCAGCTCAAAGCCTTCAGTGACTCTGAGTGGGCTGCCTGCGTGGACACAAGACGATCCACCACTGGCTACTGTGTCTACCTAGGTGATTCGTTGATTTCCTGGAAGAGCAAGAAACAAACCACCATGTCCAGATCCTCTTGTGAAGCTGAATACAGAGCATTTGCCCACACCAGCTCTGAAATCCAATGGCTGCTCTACCTCCTCCAAGACTTCAAAATCAATCACCTCCAACCAGCAATCTTGTACTGCGAAAACCAATCAGCCATCCACATCGCAGAGAATCCCACGTTCCATGAACGGACGAAGCACATCGAGCTTGATTGCCACTTCGTCCGCGAAAAGGTTCTTTCTAACACAATCAAACTCCTCCATGTTTCAACAGTCCACCCACTTGCAGACCTCTTCACTAAACCGCTCTCGCCAGCTACGTTTCTCCATCTGCTGTCCAAGCTTGGTGTGCTAAACATTTGCCCACCAGCTTGCGCCGGGGGGGGGGGGGGGGGGGGTATTAGAGAAAAACATTAGTTTTTCTTCGCCAATCTCAAATGCAGAAACCATTCCAGAAGCAGAGCAGCAAGCAGAGCATCAATCTTCAAACCAATCGACCGTTGAAGTGAAGACGACGCCGTGTCTAGAAGAAGCGACCATTGGAGTGAAGACGTCGCCGTATCCAGAGAAAGCTTAGCCTGCGACCGAGACGACGACGCATAGGAGCTGGAGTCAAGTTGTCTCTGGCGAATTACCAAACTGATGCCCAACTTCTTATTTTGTCCAATTTCCCAAATCGGATTGTACTTTCTTCTTTCCCAAGTTTGTCTTCTTTACTTGTTCTGTAAACCATCAACCATTCAGCTATATAAGCTGAAGTAAGACAATGAGAATGAAATAAGCTGAAATTTCCAAACCTAAAAGTAGTGTTAAGGAGCAAGAAGGTCCGATGTTGCCGTCAGCGAATGCCTGGAGAGGCAGGCAGGAGGCGGACATGGATTGCGGAGAACGACTCAGCAAGAAAGCATACATGAGGCTCTACCAAATCGGTTTAAAAAATGGAAGAAAAACGCCGGATTGAATAGAACTGGAATGATCCTTGCGGGATTTGTGCTGCTGTTCTCTGTCCGTGTGGTTTGATATGTAGAGGAAGGCCTCTGCTGGATAAATGGAAAGCGAAGGGGAAACATATTTTCGATATTGATGATAGAGTCTGGGGCGATATTCAGATGTCAATTTCATTGATTATAGGCTGTACACACAAATATGTTGGAGACGTCGGTTGAGTTTGCAAGAACATAAATAGAAGGAGGTTGAAGAAAGGAAAAGGTTGTGTTTGATCGGGAAAGTGTCGGATCTCTGAAACTATGTTTATGGGCTTTGCTTGGCTAGGGGGCACTCTATTTTTGAGTTAAGGTCGCAAGTTAGAAGCCCCAAGTTTCACTTTTGGTGGGTTCACAATAGAAAGAATAGCCTCTTCACTTGCTCATTTTGTTAATTATATATAGAAGTTCATTTCGTAAGCAAACCAACCCATCTCCTTCTGACATTCATCCACTATCCTATAATTTTCTTTTTGGTTGAAACTATTAATTAATACTAGCCTATAGCCAGGCCCGTTGGCCACATTTGTTTAAGGAAATGGAGTTACAATATCTATAATGATAGTGTCAAGAAATGAGTCTTGTTTTATTTTATCATAAGATTGTTGCAATTTTGCAATTCGTTGAAGACGAACATGTAATATGAATGAACATTCATAATAAGTTAGAAATACATTTGAAGATTAGCTAATCACAATAAAAATAATTACATGAAATTTTACTAATCACAAATCTAATCTAGTTGAGTATTACGACAAATAACATGCAAGTCCAAAATAAGAAAACTCAATACATTGTCTCATTGTTCATGACATGGTACTCAATTCAATAAAGGCAAAAATAATTTCACCAACACAAGTTCACAATAACCAAATGCATCGTTCCAGGGACCGACTGTGACCATGACTTCAAATGTCTGTTCTCCAAGCATGTTCAGAAGGCCCATATAGTCAGCATTGACAACATCTGCATGACTGAATACAGATTCAACAATCGTTCGTAACTGTGATGACGGGAAGACGATGTCAAAACCAATGAATTCGTCCTCAATTGTGAGGTGGACGAAATGGATTCTGGATGCAGGGGACCAGGACGTCGTCAAATTCGTTACACGTCCGGATAACAAAAAAGAGGTGCCCTAATGTAAACACAGAAACGAATATTGTCAAAGCAAATCGATAAAATGCAGCCTGCCACAAAAGGCGTACGATTAAAAAGAAATTTATTTGTTTAGTTACCTGATTTTCGACATCCACTTGCAACATAATGAGATCGATGGTGTCGGCACGCTCACAAATTTCAAGAGCATCATCATATTGCAGATTAGCAATAAAACCATGGGGAAGCCTATATATTGGACTGTAAGTTTTGGCATTAAGTAGTGAAAAAGAATCGAAATTACATGATGTAGTATTTGTTGGATGCATGAGCAGTACTTACTGATTGAATTGAGGCAGGTCCGCCATATTGAATGCAATTCGCACGGTCAATGGAACCGAAGTGTTTTGTATGGGAAGTAGTAAACGGAAATTGTAACATGAGAGAAAGTGGTATCTCCATTATATAAAGGAGAGAAAGTGATTCTACACATGTGATTTATTTGGCCGCATGCAGTGGAGTACGTGTGTGTGTGGAAAGTGGGATAGTGGGGGAGTGGAGAAGGATTTGTGGCCTCGTGGGGGAGTGGAGAAGGTTGGCCATTTAGAGTTCAAGAGGCGGGTGTGTCATGGAACTCACGACCCACCTTCTTTTTTTTTTTTTTTTTAGGGGAACAACCCACCTTCTTAAAATCAAACATGCGCCTTCCTTTTATTTTGTTGCAATTAAAAATTCAAAAACAAAAGAAGGTAAGTACATAATAAAATATAAAGAGAAGAAAAATCAGTTCACTTTTCCCAAAAAAGACCTAGCAGCCGCCCAAATTATGCTTTTTCAGTTTTAATAATTCTCACTTTATTCTTTTATCTCTAATAAGTGAAACAATAATTGTAAAAAAAAATAATTGTTAAGTCTACCAAGTAAGTCAACACCGGTTTATGATCGGTTTTTAATATCGATTAACCACCGGTTATTTGATAAACCTTGAACCCTTTACTAATCTGGATCGATGTCCGGTTCCGTTTTAACAACATTGCTAATTGCGACTGTGTCAACAATTCTTGTCCAAAATTGCCTCTCAAAGTTGCTAATTATTATTTGATGCGCCAACCCGGCCGGCCCGGCCCACACCACCACTAATTAACATGAAATGAAAATCATAATGAATGTATTTAATAAAGAAATAATGGCTTGGAATGCGGCAGCCTTCACCTCATAGAAGATCCAAAAAAATCGGATACTGGGCAGTAGAGGAGGTGGGGGAGTGGGGGAGTGGAGAAGGATCCGCCCAAGGTAGTGTAGGTTGGCCTTTTTTTTTTTATGGGAATAGGTTGGCCATTTAGTTTCAACAAATCCGGCTGGGCATTCCCTCTCTAACTATATTTTATTTAACTGAACCATGCTTGGGTTGTTTTGTGGGCTGAGTTGTGGTGTTAATTTAGTTTAGTTCAGTTGCGACTATGGAAGTTATTCTTCGTATTGCAATATAACGGTCACACTCGCATACCCTTCGGTAGAGTAAATTGAGGTACAATTAAATATAAAGTAGTGTGCATAAATCACATTTCATATAATTGGCTGTTAAAAACAGGAAAATAATTTGGACAAATTGAGAACTCAAGATTCAAATTGTAACGACCCGATAAATTTGACAGTCTTAGTCCTCAAATCGAATAAAACATAATACATCAATAAACCACTACTCAAAAATCTCAGTGAACACAATGTTCTGCATAGTATTCGCCGGTTTACCTTGAGAGTCACAGCTAAGAATCTTGAGTCCCCTTTCCGACGTAACTCGAGACATAGCAACATACAACTGTCCATGAGAAAATACTTGTCTTTGCAAGCAGATGCCAACGTGATTTAATGTTTGACCTTGACTCTTGTTAATTGTCATTGCATATGATAGTGCAATTGGATATTGCCTTCGAACCAGAGTGAAATTTAAGCTCTTGTAGTGGACCGATAGACTTAGGCGTGGTAAGAAAACTGTATCACCAACATGTGTCTCGGTCAAAATTTGGACCTCAATAAACCACTTACCTAATCTCTTAACGATCATCCGAGTTCCATTGCAAAGCCCAGTACTCTGATCCAAATTTCGAAGCAAAATAACAGGACACCCCAACTTCAATTTCAACTCATGTTCCGGAAAATTCCCAATCTTTAAAGAGTTCAAGAATTCAACTGTGTAGTCCCCTTCTTCAACATGCTGATTCTTGGCATCAATCTCTAGCGAATCCGAACTAAAATAAGAAACTTCTTCACCAGGAAATAGACCCAATACATAATTGTTAATGGCCGCAACAGTGTCATTATGAGGGGCTAAGATAGCTCGCTCAACCAAATAGGTTGACATATTTTCAGTGGAGAGTAACTGACCATATATTTCAGCAACAATATCAGGAATTGGATCACTGCGACGGGGAACACAAATGTGTAGAGGTATCGGGATAATTGATTCTCCAAAAATATTACTATTTGTACCATCACCAATTTCCAAAAGCCATTTGCTAAAATTTGAGATTGCTAACCTGGCCGATGCTTCAGAATGAGGCAATTTTAATCGCATGTTCTCGGTTAGCTTCAATACTGTCATAGACCGCCACAAATAAGATCTCTTTATGGAAGAATTAACAATTTCAGTCCGTGTACCCTTCGTGATGATAGGTAACGTCTGTCGGAAATCACCTCCAAACACAATAGTCATACCTCTAAAAGGCTTCAACTCAGAATCAACATGCTTAACTCGGAAAATATCCCTCAATGTCCTATCTAGGGCCTCTATGTTGTGTTTATGAGCCATCGGTGCCTCATCCCAGATAATAAGTGAAGCATTGAGAATCAATTCAGCTACCTCAGAACCTTGCTCAATATTGCAAGTTGATTTTGTATCACAATCCAGGGGAATGTGAAATCTTGAGTGTGCAGTTCTTCCACCGACCATGAGCAGTGCAGCAATACCAGATGAAGCAACACATAATACTATCCTCTTCTCAAATCTTAATTGCTCACAAATTGCTCGCCACAGAAATGTCTTACCAGTACCCCCAAATCCATCCACAAAAAAGCATTTACCCTCATTGGTATAAACAGAATGTAATACCATATCGTAAGCGATTTGTTGTTCTCCATTCAACGGTCTACTATGTCGATCCTCAGAACAGTCTAAGTCATCGGGTCCATAATTCATCTCCATATCTATCAGCCTGTTTACCGTATGTGAACGCAAACACTGATCGGGAACAGGCAACCCAGGGAAATCTGCTAATGACTTCGAAAATCTCTCCATCAATTTGTCAATATGAATAAGGCACAACTCCTTAATTTCATCCTCCGACAAATTCAACTGGGGTAAATTCAGCTCTCTACGTCGTGAATGCAAAATGCCTTCACTTAGTAATTCCCAATTCTTTAACCAAAAAGAAGTCACATCAGCCACCTGACAATGAATAAGAATTGTGACAAAAAGTTTTCTAAGTTTATAACCAGAAGCCCAGTGCGAAGCTTCTTGGACACAATCATTCCATTCAGAATCTCCAGATAACAGTCCCCGAGCAAAACATGCTTTTTGGAATGTTTCATATACCACCCCATTCACTGTTCTAATATCATCATAAGAACAACAACCCCTAACAACATGCAATAGCATTCGCAAATAGTATCGCTCCTTTGCGGATGGGTAGCAGTAATATAATCTAGCAATGCAGGTACCTTTTTTGCGCTGCTACCACTTCTTGTATTTTTTATTCCATACATAATATTGTGGCATCTCCGCAAAAGTATATTTCCGTGCATCCATTGACTGAAGATTGAGATCCATCCATGCTAACAACATTGAGGTTTGGGAACTGCTAGACTCAACCGCTTCCTCCACGTTAGAATCAACATTTGAATACACTGTATTCTCACCAGGCAAATGACAGGACATACGCAGTACTGTTGGAGAGTGAGTGTATATATCAAACCTAAAAATTCTCCAACATGCTTCTCCCGATGTGATGTAACGGGCATCCATGAATGCCTTTATCTCATCGATTTGCACAACCGTAGTTCCACGATTCCGACCATCCATAGCCGAAGCTGTTTGTTGTGCAGCTACAGTGACCATTGCACGATCCTCGGGTTCGTTGATGTACTTAAACAAATATTTCACAGCACTATAGAAACATCTAATAAAACCAAGTTGTAGATGTTAGATAGGGAAGTAGGAAAAAGTTGTATTACATTTTTTCTTTAATGTGACTTGTATTAAATAAGAAATCAAAGTACAGAGAACAAAAGACAACAAATTGATCACAATAGCTTATCCAAGGGGCAAAAAAAAATGAAGGAAAACACACCAAAAAATATTACAAAAATTACAGAGTTGCGGCAAGAAGTCACACCAATAAGATAACACTGGGTTTATAAAATAACTAAAAAAAGAGAAATCGCACAAATATTGGTTTGGTTTTTATTCATCTTTGGAAATTAAATCATAATTCATATGCATGCATAAAGTTAATAATGAGTGTAGCATATAAATATACATATAGCCTGTCATTAAGAATCTGAGTTTGGTAATATAATAAAGGAAACAACAACGTCATATAGATAAATACGATTTACTTCAGCCATACATTGTCTTGTCACAATATTCAATATTGATATGCGCTCCAAATCGTAGTAACAAATATCGATTGTAGGGTGCAACCCATCGATTATCCAGATCAACGCCGCCACAATTGAAAACTCTACCATTGTTCCGCCGACGATATTTAGCAAACCCAGTTTCATCAATAGTTGTTTGAGAAGAGTATTCCTTGGGGTAATGCTTACTACATTTCCCATTCTTCATGCACACATTATTAGGACGTACTGTACCACACGGGCCATGCATCATTGAACTTGTGACAACTGCATACAGTTCAGGATCCGGAATTTCAGCACATATTATGGAATCAATAGCCGCAGGACCATGGAATTTATTCTCCGAGGCCAAAAAAAGCAATATGTGTGCATGAGGGAGACCCCGCTTTTGCCATTCAATTGCTTTGACATCTGTACAGCAAGATGCAAATAGTGGAAAAGGAATATTAGTTCAATGAGGTAAGAGAGTAATGGATGAACATTAATAGATAAATAACGAATGAATAAGCACACATACATGCATTGATTTTCCCAAATATTTGTTTCTCGCGAATCTCTAACATAAACTCATCAAGCTTGATTTTGAAAACTCTGGCGGTGATGTCAGCCCGGTCAGGATCTTTGCCACTGTACCTTCTAATCAAATCAACCATTAACTGTATCTCTGGCCAGTTAGAATTGCAAGTGAATGTTATAAACAAATCAGGATAACCAATCCACTTGCAAATAGCCATCGCATCCTGAAAATTCTCATACTTGTATCTTGGACTACCAGTGTGTGAGGTAGCTAAAATAACTGGCTTCCCAGAAAGCTTGATATCACTATCCCCTCGCAAATAAGAATTCAACAAATCCTTGTAGTAGTGTCCTCTTAGCTTCGACTGATGGGTACGCATCTAGTCTAAGCGTTCAGCCTCAATTAACGCAAATGCATTCACCATATATTGTTGAAACAATTTACCAGATAATAACAGAGAATTCGACTCCTGGAGACGGGTTTGAAGACGATATGCATAGAAATCACACTTGGTTATCATTTTATCTCCAACACTGATATTAGAGCTATTGTAACTATAGCTAATGCAGGGATGCCACCCATCCTCGCCATATGGGAATAAAATTGGATGTTGTAATGCCATCAGACTTGGATGGTATACGCTAATCCTTTCCATTTTTGAACCCTTCTGTTGAACAATTATATCTGGAGAAAATGATTGCTCTCCTGTTTCATCTACAATCAATGCTGCAATCTCATTCGCAGAGGGCAAATCATATTCTCTACTATTAATTTCACGCTTAGCCAATAGTTTCAGTTGAAGCTCCTGGACACCAGAGTTTTGTATCCTATATCGCGCAGAACGAAATGTACGTACCAGGATATTATTGTCATCAAACATATGCTTGAGGCCTTCAATAATACACTGGCGCAACGGATTCTTGGCAGGATCAGTGGAGTAAAAGTCCATACGATTCTGCACCTCGTTATTTGAATCGTGAATGTAAAGCTGTGCAAATTTCGGACTATCCCCATCACCAGGAACCAAACATCCTATTCGATGATAAATCTGACCACCGATTGAATATACATAAACTCCACGACCATCATTAATAGAGTGATTGACTTTACCTCCGAGAGAAATAAAGCAAAAAACCCCATTATAGGCTCTGATGTTAGTACGAAAGTGACGCGCTAATGGTGTATCCCCTTCAAGTAGAGTTTTAAGAAATTCGGGCACATCTCTGCGGGGAGGCAATTTCACTTTACCATGTTTGCAACATAAAGGAAATGCAGGCAACACATCATTCCGTGTAGATAAAGTACTCTCGAACCGCCACATAACTGCTCCACAATGTTGACACGTACATGAAGGTGGATCAATATCAAAAAATTCAACCAACGGAAGACCTAGTGAAATAGATAAGTAATATTAATAAATTTTAGTCACAGTAATTCATAAATTGAATGAGATTGAGAAACTGTGAAGTCAATTTAGGCGCGCTACAGTAAACACAATTATTAAAATAAATGTTCTCAAGGCAAGATAGATTGGTATACCGCTCATTTTAAGTAAGAATAAGTCAAATTTCAGGAAACACCAAAGTTTGTTCATAACACACAAATTTGCCGTTGACACATCAACATCTAAAAACAATCCACTATTTGCATAAGGTGACATGAAGCGTACATCACTAAATTATATGCATGGCATAAATGGGTACATTATATGTTCTAAAACCAAAATAGGAAACAAAATATGTTGACCAGAACACAAAAACATATATCCAATGTACAAAAACTAAACCAAAATAGAGATGAACCATTTCATGTATAATAGTGGCCATTAGAATCCACATACTTTGATTGACTTCTGTAGGAAAGAAACTTCGGCCACGTCTCTTTCTATGCAGATGAATACGTCGAAGTAATCGACTTTGCTTTTGTAATAGATATCAAACTCCGGCTCCAAAACTATGAACAACACCAAAACACATACGATATTAAAGAAATAAATAAAGATTCAACAATCTAGAATAGCCTAATTTGTAAGACTTGCTACAAAATTTAGCAAACAACAACCTTGGTGTTCAAAAGGCAAGCCCCTCCTATGAACCTTCTGTTTCAAAATATGATGTCTTCTCTTACGGGCGACTTGGGATAGTATTCGCCGAAGTTGGGAGAGTTGGAATTGTAAGGCAGCTTCTTCTGCAGAATTTAAATATAAAACCATGTATTACTCATTGAATAGATGAACTAATTAGAAAAATTAAAACACAGATAACACACCTCTCTCAAATGCTTCTTCCTCTTCAGCATATAAAACACAGCGTTGGTACTGATATTCAGGATAAATAAACACTGCTCGACGTTTCCCTAAACAAATGAGATTCAAGGGAAAATATTAATGTCAGTTTGCATTGAAGCAGTTGCGTGCTAAACCATGACACTCACATGGTACAGACGATCGATAAATCTGTGGTTGGGCAGATGGGATGAGATTTGCACTATCCATATTAAATTCTCCAATAACCTGATGCAATCTGAAATAGAGGTCGTGGTAAATGATGCACCCGTTCCAGTAAATTTTGCAGCTGCCATTCATATAAATTAATTAATTGTTAGAACAGAAGTTGAACTCCTCACCAATTATAAGTTTGTGCGAGTTAATGACACATACAACACACCACACAAACATAACAGTCGAAGAAAAATATAACTATATAAGGCATAATTTAAATTGATGAACAAAACACATATAACAGAACGGCTTCCAAGCTTGGGGATGCAAAGGAAGAGCGAGAAGGACAACAATGTAATGGCCAACACAAATATAATTCGAAGGCATCCATAAAAACCATATCCAAAGAGAAGTTTGAAAAAGAAGCAAGTTGGCAATAAGAAAAGCACTATAAGTGCTTACCAATTCTAGTTCTTCTAACTATACCAAGCTTATCCATTCTTTCAATTATGCAGTTTATGCTTTGTACTTTTAGCACAAATGGATTCCAACTCTAATGTCACAATACAAATACAATGCAAATGAAGTTGAAGAACAATAAAACAAACTAATGGAGTGAGATAAAACTGTCCAATGATCTTATGTAATAACGGGAAAAAAGCCTGGTAGAACCAATACACTAACCAGTGGAGCATGCTTATCAATACCGCCTACTTTATACTTCTTTAGTGATTAGAGCTGAAAGTACATTATCAGATCATAGCCAGTCCCATTAGATTAATTAACCTAGAAACATATGAGAGAAAACCTTACTGATCAAGTTGGATTTCGACATTTACCTGCAACAGAGTTAACATCAGAAAGTAAATTGATTATGTCTCATACGTGGTGGCGGGTGGGGGACGGCGCGCCAAATTTCGTCGGCGATGGGCTAGTTCTGGACTCAAGTAGGCTGGGCCTCTGAAGTATGGGCTGGCGAGAGAAATGGATCCCCGAGGCCTTATGGTTTACACTTTCCTTTTCCTCCGCCAGGCCAGCGGTAGTTTATAGCCGGCCCTTCGGTTTACTGACCCGGAAAACGACCCGGACGAAGTACCTGGCTGCCGCCGCCGAACGTCTCTTTCTTTCCTCTTCTTTCTCTGCGGCCCGGAAAAACTCAGCTCAAAATCGGCAGTCGGCTGCTCTCTGGAAGACAGTCTAAGCGAAGTGGAATTTAAAGTAAGTAGCTTTGTTACTTTCAAGAGAAAGGGAAAAATCAAAAATCCCCTTTTGATCTCTAGAGAATCCAATCAACAGAATGAAGCGAGGAAGGTAAGAGAGAATAAAGAAAACGGAATGAAC